TGTGGAATCTGCCCAATAACCCAGCAGATGGAACGCACATGTGTGACTTGGACCCAAATATTCTAATCAGCAGAGATTGATCATTGACGCAAGCACAAGTGCTCCGCTTGTCTTCTCCTTTCCTCCGCCAAAGTCAATGAACCTGGACTGTGGCAGCAAGTTGAAAAACAAATGAATGGGGCTCTCGTAATATATTGTAAGAGAATGTACATAGGGTCTACGGTCTACGGTCTACCCCTCGAAGTCAAGACTAGCCTGGGGTCCGTTGGCAGAGAACAAATTCTACGGAGAATCGCGTGATATTTTTTAATCAGCAAACGGGCGTCGGCGTGTTGCTGTCGCTTGTGTGGCTGCTTTTTGCTACTCAATTGATTAAGCGGCCCCTGGGTCTGTTCTACATATAGAGTACAATGCTATATATGTACAACTGTATAGTATGTTCGGCACAGATTTAATTCTGCTGCAAAAGTCTCCGGGAGCAAAGGTTTTGCTTCGATTAATGAATGGCCCACGTTTTTACTAGCTGCTTTCTGGTCTCCGATCTCCGGTTTGTTAATATCTGACAAATCAAGGTACTCGCTTGCATAATCGATGGTTTATTTTTATTTTTAGAGGTATACTTTGTTGATTTCGTGTACCTCCTATAGGAGGTTCCGAGATCTTCGATACTTTCTGAGGAGGCAACACCTATAATTCAAACATTGTTTCACTTAATCAAACCTTTTCTTTGGAAATTACTTATCTCAAATGGGTGTTAGACTTATAATAGTTTCCGCCCACCTATTTCCAATTTCGCTCTCCACGCAACCGATAACAAAAGGAAAAGACGGACCTGATAATGATGACGTTTTTATTTCTTATCATACACAATTTGGTAAAGTGCTTACGTTTTGCATCATATGTTATAATATAATTGTTTGAAGTCTCATTGGATGAATCATAAAAGATAATTTAAATTTTACGAATTTCTGAACAGTAATGCTAAAAAAATTATTAAAAATTAATATGTTGATGAGATTTACTCATAAGATATATACTCATAACTAGAAAATATAATTAATGACTTGTATAACCATCGATCTTAACTTCCGACAGAAGAAATCCCTTTGATTTATTGGATTATTTTCATACAATAACTGAGAAATGAGAAATTGCTCTGACCATGACCATAAATGCGATTATTTTGAGTGCTAAAATTCCGATTGGCCGTAAATACGTTCATAATTGGTGTTAAAATGCAATTTGAGCGCCGCCTCACGTCCCCCAGATGCTATTATCGCTTTCCCAAGCCAAAAACAAAAACCAGGCCAGGGCACGTGTGCCTATAACCATGCATATAGCTTAGAATCGGCAGAGAATGTAAACAACCCAAGTGGCGCTATTTGCGACGACTATGTGGCCACTGAAAAGCTGACGTAGCGCCGTTCATAATTGCAATTAGAATTGCAAAACATTGATATCTCCCGCCCAGGTTGCTCCATCTCAGCATTGCTTTTTGCTTTTGGATTTTGGCGTACCTACTCTGATGATCGGGTCCAAAGCTCAATCTTTACCAACGCTCCGCAAAAGTGGAGCACAAAAACCGCCTGGGGATCGCCAGTCAGTCAGCTACTGGTCATTAAAAGCACTCCAACAGACATCATTGACGCGCTTCGACAGCGATTTATGTAAATTATGTAAATGCGGCTGCTTGAACAAGTTTATGGCTTTGTGGTCTGGGTCATAGGAGGTACTGCTCATTAGCTAAACTAGCTGGATTCCAGCTGAGCGTAAAGAAATGTTTACCTTCATAAATTTCTTTTTGGTTTCAGGAATTTATGAGTTTTTACTTTATACATTCCAAGCGATAATTCAAAAACTCGGCTTATCTTGCCAAGTCACACATTAAATTTGGGAAAATATATGCCATTTTCTGACTCACATTCGCAGAAGCCAGATCGTTTTCATCTGCTGGTCGTCGTCAAGGTCGATGCATGCTCACTTATCACAGAAATTGTTGAACTTCCTCGAATGGCTATAACGTTTCCGGTGGCAAACGCCCCAAGTCATGTCACGATAATGGCAACAAATGAAGTTGTGTTTTTGGCACACTTCGTTCAAAAACCTTTGTATCTTTTTTGGTATCTCTGAGAACTCTAGTAATTTTCCAGCTTGTTCTTGTATCTATTAGTAATTATTTCCCTTTTTTTTTCCTCCAACAGCTATGATATGGTTCACTTCGGTCATGCCAACTCCCTGCGACAAGCCAAAGCTCTTGGCGATAAGGTAATTGTGGGCATTCACACAGACGAGGAGATCACCAAGCACAAGGGACCGCCTGTCTTTACCGAAGAGGAGCGCGTCAAGATGGTCAAGGGCATTAAATGGGTGGACGAGGTGGTGCTCGGTGCTCCCTATGTCACCACACTGGAGGTGCTCGATCAGAACAACTGTGATTTCTGCGTACATGGTGGTAAGTAGAAGTATTTTCAATAATAAAGTAGATTATTTAAATCTCTTATTCGTTGCAGATGATATTACAATGACAGCCGAAGGAGTGGACACATATCATTTGGTCAAGTCAGCCAATCGCTATAAGTGAGTGACAGTTTATTTAAAAAAGATTATAAAAATGTATTATTAAATTAATGAAATCTGCCAGCTGTCCCTTAAATCACTCTCTGTATTCAAATAACTTATTTATATTTTTCTTAATTAATCCTCAGGGAAGTCAAACGTACTGCCGGAGTTTCCACCACCGACCTTGTGGGTCGCATGTTGCTCCTCACACGCAACCACTTCCGTCAAGGATCCGCCGAATATGATATCGAGAAAGAAGGTAGCTTCAACTTTGCTTTTTGGCACCTTCAAGTTTCATTTTAATGTTCCTAAATCACAGCGATGTTCATGGTTTTCATTTATTAGTAACTATTATTTAACAAATACTAACTTTATTTATAAGATTCAATTTTTGTTGCACTCTCCCTGTCCCTCATCTCTTTCTGTTGATCTCGTACTTTGCTCCTGCATGCTGTCCATTAAACAAAAAGTCAATCTATCAGTTCTAAGTATGTATACTGATATATATTTAGTTTTTACCTGGGCCACGCACGCTTTGTTTATGCTTTTACCTTACTCGATTACTTTCCGAGCGTTTAACCCTTTAATTGCCATAGTTGAACGCCAATAACTCCTTGGTTTTTGTTGCTCTCTACAACTTTACTATTTCTCTTCTTTTTATTTCTATGTACGCACTGTTTACCACTAACCAAAATATAATATAATGTATATGAACCTATGAAAAATATGCTAAAACCTCAATATGCCAAATGTCTTGTGCGTGTGCGCGCCCGCGAAATGAATCCAAAATGCCAAACCCAACGACCAAAACCTGCAATCAATCCAAATCCGAATCCAAATCGAAATCAAATCCTAAACGTAAATTTTACGCTATTTTAAAACACACCTGCTCATTTGTCTACGTTGCTTTACAATACAAAATACGAACACCAAATAAAACAGTGACGATTTTAAAACGACAAATAAAATCCCATCCAGGTTCTTCGAACATGGGTCAAGATTCGGCAGCCAAAAGCCCCTGGACCGGCTGCAGTCAGTTCTTGCCGACAACCCAAAAGATCATACAGTTCAGCGATGGAAAGTCTCCGAATCCTGGCGATAAGATTGTAAGTTATATACTTAAGGCTGAGTTTTTAGTTTTATACTGACTTTGCTCTGTGATTTTAAGGTCTATGTGGCTGGCGCCTTCGATCTGTTCCATGTGGGCCACCTGGACTTCCTGGAGAAGGCGAGCAAACTGGGCGACTACCTGATTGTCGGCCTGCACACAGATCCCGTGGTCAACTCCTATAAGGGCAGCAACTATCCCATTATGAATCTGCACGAGCGCGTCCTCAGCGTTTTGGCCTGCAAGGTGGGTTAAAAAATACCTTTTTAAATGGGTTTTCTCCTAACACTCTATCTTCTTCCCCAGTTTGTCAACGAGGTGGTGATTGGGGCTCCCTACTGCGTAACCGAGGAGCTGCTGGAGCACTTCAAAATCGATGTCGTCTGCCACGGACGCACACCCATTGCGCTGGAGAATGGGAAGATTGATCCCTATGCTGTGCCCAAGACGCGAGCCATCTTCGAGCTGATCGACTCGGGCAACGAGATGACCACCGAGCGGATCGTGGAGCGGATTATCTCGCACCGACTGGAATACGAGCGTCGCAACCAGGCCAAAGAAAAGAAGGAAATCGAGGCCTTCGAGGCTCTGCAACGCCAGAAGCAGACCCAAAAGGCCGGCTAGCCGGAATCCCCCGACTCCGACTTCTCTCACTAGACGGATGTTTTATATATTTTTAGTTGCATTCTTTTAGTTTGTTTTTTGTTTAGTTCTGTCGTCCCATCTGTAATGGCGCTTTTGTTATGTTGCGTTAAAGGCGATGCGACGCTGCCCAGAGATGCCGTGCAGCCATTAAGTTTGTAAAAAAAAGAGGCCCGGACCCAGCGTACAGCTCGCTCGTTTTCTAGTACAATTTTTGAATAGCTGCGGGTCGCACAGGCGGCTCTTAACAAGCCTTAATGATATAAAGTTATATACATATATATATTTGTAATACCTTAATATAGCATATTTAAAATCTAAATTTTATGTATGTAAGCTCAAAATTTGTAAATTCTAATTTGTATGCTGTAAGTGTTGAAAAAACAAGCCCCGAGTCATGATTGATATATGAAAACTTTACAAAATTGTACGAAATATATGTAAGGCGAATAGCAAAGATAAACTGTGACATGTATTGTGTATGTATATACAGCAATGTAACGCAAGTAGGATATCCGGATGCCAGGAAATAGCTGCTTTTATCAAATGTAATCTCTGATACTTTGTCCTTATTTATTAATGCATATACTTAGTGCAAGTTCAAGTTTTATGTTTCAGTGTTTAATCTTAGACTAAAATACATGGCCAAAAATATTGCAAACTCTCCAATTAAACTGTGTTTTTATTGCCAATTAGATTCTATTTTCACTGACCACCTTCAGTTCGACGGTTAGCATCTGCTGCCAAACATCCATATCCAATAGAGGTCTGAGATCATCAAAGCTGATGATTATGACGTTGCTGTCGGTTTTGATGAACTCGCTGCACTTCTGGTTCGCCGTCCACGGCAGGATGGGTCGAGCCTTGATCTGCTTGGAGTAGTAACGCACGGATTTGGCCGGCTGAACCAGCAGGCGCAGGCTGATGGCCACCCCCTGCAAAGGTGTTGTCACCCAAATGGCCAGGACCTCCTGCTTGATTCTCTTTCTTTCCCACAGCACCGAGTGTGTGGTGCGGCAGGCGAAGACCATGAGTGCACTGTGCTGGGAAAGGTGACGGTACTGCGCCGGCAAATGAGTGTTCCGATGGCATTTAAGGGGATTAAGGCCTGTGCGTCTATAACCATAGACGCCCAGCAGCGTGTTGACCTCACTTTCCAAGCCGCTGATGTGGCAGGTTAGCGATACCTTCTTGCCCATCTCGAGTTCGAAGAACCCCCATTCCGGGCAGATGGTCGCTTAAGTAGTGACCCAACAATGCGCTGGGCTCTAGAGAGCAGCGGCATCCCTGGCATGGACAGGCCACCAGGCGGAGCCGTGCCCACGGCGAATCGCTGGAGGGGATCACAAAGAGCGGACTCCTTCGGCTGCTGGGCGGCTCCGTTAGAGAGCCAAATCGCTTCAGCTGGAGAAGATGCTCCTCGGAATTCGAGGCCACCGACACGGGCAGTCGGCAGTTGGAGAAGTGCTTGGTGTACAGCAGACTCTGCATTTCCTGGAGGCGCTGCTTCCGCTTCTCCTGGCGTTTTTGACTACGGGTTTTCCCATCGGTTGGAGGAGCAACCCTTGCAGAGGAAGACGGCGCAGACATGGTGGAGAATGAAATAATCTGGCTTATTCTTATTCACACGACATAATTTTGATAGGGACTGACAACTTTCCGAAACAACTAATGACTTAAACAAATAAGTCAGTGAATACTATTTTCTATAGCTAATATTTATTATTCAGTTGGGCCGAAATCCCGGCGGTACTGCAATACCGGGCCAACCCGCGACAGAGGTGGAGCAAGCTCCTAGCACTCCGTCTGATTCCAAAAATCAGTTTAACATTTGTTGTCCTCCAATGGAGGAACTATCAGATGTTAAGCTGATAAGAACAGATACTACACTTTGATCTTAGCCATAAGGCCGAGAAGCGATAACTTGAAATGGAAAATTAACTGGGTCTCTATGAGAAAACTGCCAGAAGCAGTTGGGAATTATTGGGACGCACAGGCGAAAACATTTGGGTGGCTCAGAAATAATGCAGTTTACTAGTTTACCTGACTGCCTCCAGGTAATAAAAGGGTAAGGAAAAACTATTCTAAACATTGAAAATAATTTGAAGTCACCCTAAATGGAAAAACAATATCAGAAGTAAGACAAATTTAAATTCCAATTTAAAGGCATCACTTAAAACTTTATTACTTCAATCTTTCACTTAAAGTGCGTGGGATAAAACACTTAGAATGTAAATAAATATTCTTATAATATTTTAGGTTAAAAGTACATCATTTGCTACAAGAAATAAGGCGAGGTACATTTCTTCTTGATAACATCTCAAGGGATGTGCTTCTTCTGCATATATCCTTTCTCTTGGAGGACTCAAAGAGGTAGGGTTGACGATGGTGGTTGAGATTCTAAATCCAGGACAGACTAAAATTGAGTGGAGTCGTATTTTACGGTGGTTTCGCAGCTGTTGATAAAACAAATTAATGTAGCTGATTATTCTACTTAATCTTCAAGAAATTCTTACCACTAATGTCCTTATTAGTGCTGTTATCATTTTTCCGAACACTGCCGTACTTCTCCTTAAGGTACTTTTGCACATTGATGTTGTACTTGCTGCGGGGATTAATTCCTTCTTTTTTCGAAGGTTGACCCAAAGGTTCTTCATGGCTTTTAAAGGCAGTGGGTTGTTCATTGGAAGGCAATAGATCCGGTTGATGTTCTTCGAGTTGTCCGTTCTTTTTTGAGTTGCTGTTGGAATGCGACGAACTCTTAGGATCAAAACGTCGGGGACTTTCGTCGAGCTTGTCTGAATAGGTAAAGGAGGAAACATGATATAATATACTTTAAAATACTATTATATTATATTTTCTTACCTCTCTGTTTGAGCTCTTCGTTGTTTTGTACGGCAGTACTTTCTGAATATAGCCCCTTGTTCTGTGATGATATAGGGCCAGTCTGATTGTCAAGATATCCAAAATAACTATTGGTATTTAACCTCACTTCATTAGGTTTTCTCTTTGATAGTGAATCCTCTGGATACTTCTCGTTGCCATTGAATAACGTGTAATTTGTACATGATGCTCCATTCGCCGCACCTTCCTGAATAACTCCCGAACTTAAGGCGCTGATCCCGGCAACATCTTCGCTTTCGAGTGCGGGAAAACTGGTGGTTTGCAAATAAGAATGCTGACTAGGATGAAACTGTTTGAAGCGCTTGAAAATCAAGCAGGTCACCACGGACAATAGAATCGACATAGTGAGAAAACCCATGGTTATAAGGCATATTATCGCAAGGAAATTGGTGTCTATCAGTGGAATTCGCTGCAAGTCCTTTTGTACCACCACACTTATGTGAACCGAATCCTTGCCTCCGGGATTCTCCGCTAGACATGTGTAGACACCCTCATCGCTCTTCTTGGCATTTACTATGGTAAGACGAGAGACGAAAACGTCATGACCAAATTTTTGCACCTTTGGTTCGGTTTCCCGCAACATTTCTATATAAACTCGGTGCTTTTGCAGGCCTTTCCGAGATTCGTATACTTGATTATTGTAGTCCCAGGCAATGACTGTATTTGGAGATCCTTGAACCCTGCATATAAGCGTTACATTCTCCTTGGAAGTGTTAATGGAAGTACCGAGTGAGGGATACACTATTTTCGGCTTGCAGGCGAAGGCCTCTGGCTGATCCTCGATCCACAGGCGACCACGCAACTGCAAAGGATAATGGCAGGATGTAGGTGGGGTATATAGGTTCATGCCTATGACGAAATCACGGAACATCTGAAGATCGCAGGTGCAATTCCAGGGATTCTCGGCCAGTGATAATGCTGTTAGTTTATTCAATCCCTGGAAGCTTTCCACCCTCAGTTTGGTTAGCTCATTGTTGTCCAGATAGATCTGCGATAGAAGAGGTACTCCCACAAATGCCTGGGCATCGATACTAACCAGCCGGTTGCGCTTCAGTTCGATCTTGTGCAGATACTTGAGGTTACGAAAGACCCCCTGACGAAGTGTTTGTATCAGGTTGCCGTTCAGTAATATTGCCCGCACCTTCGACAGGCAGTCAAAGACACTAGCTAACAGATCTTGCAGCAGATTGTTGGACAAGTCAAGCTCAATTAAGATCTGTAGCTGGGAGAAACTGAGCTGGTCGATGCGTTTCAGAGTCCCGTTGCGTATAAGAAGCTTCTGCAGATTCTGCAAGTGGGTGGTCGAGAAGGCATTCTCCTCCAGGTAATATATGTGGTTGTGTGATAGGTCCAGCACTTGAACCTCCGGACTGAGGTACTCCGGTACTCCACTCAGGCTCAAATTGCGACAGTCGGCCGTCTTTTTGCCAGAGTTCCATTTGCAGTGGCAATTTCCACAGTCCATCAGCCAATCTGAACTGGCACTTTGAATTAGAAGGAGTAACAAACAGTAGATCCTAAATAGGAATAACGACAGGTGCGTACAGGAAAGACTACTACATGGTTGGAAGCTAAGCTTGATAGCCATTGAGATTGTTTGAGGAACGGAACGTCTAGCTCATCCCAGTTATTCTGGGTTATTGTTTGTTGCACATTTAAACTCTCTTTTGTTTAATTATTATGTCCCATGACCGGAAGCATTAATGTATCCTTTAAAATCCATCCTATAAAGTATAAAGAAAATATCTATTATTTTTTTTCATTTAATGAAGTGTTTTAAACGATGTGTTTATTGCCATATTTGCTTAAAATCGAATTCCCTTTGCGTGCATTACCTTACCCAAGGGAACTGCCATTTCAAGGCCACTTTTCCTGTATTTTTTGCATCATGTAGCGAATATAAACAGTGAAAAACTGAGTCTTGAGCAGTGACACTGGCCGTGGAAAGAAATCGCTGCACTTTGTTGGCTTACCCAGGTATAGAAAAACAATATAAATGTACTTTACCGAAATGCCTGAAGCTCGTGTTAAGAAAATGCATCCAAAGACCTCGGCGTATATCCATCAACTGTTTTCCTATTTTTGAACTGCCCCATTTACCAGAGAGCTAACAGTGATACTTACGTTGGCGCATGTCAAGTAGACGACCTACCTTTTTCTCTTTTGATGTAAATTAACATTTTGTTTTGAAATATTTCTAGTACTTTTTACCTTATCTAAGCTTAAATAGTTTAAAAATATATATCGCTTTTGAAAATGTCAAGTGAAAGCATTGATTTTGTTTATTAAATTGCTCAGAACTATAAGACTGAATATAAAACACTTACACGACTATTTCAATAATTTTCAGAAATATTTCGATTGAATTTAAAAAGAAGACTAGCACATTTGACTGAGCAACTAATTTTATGCTTTCAATGAAAATAAAGTCATTGGTGTTTTATTGAATACCTTTTTAAACCAGTTGATTTAACATAGACCGTTTCAAAATAAACAGAACCCCTAAAAGCAGGCAAACTGTAAGTGAGCAACAGCTGCGTCGAAATATTTTCGTGTGCGCGTTCCTACAATTCCCAACTGCTTCTAGCAGTTTCCTCATGGAGACCCAGTCAATTTTCCGTTTCAAGTTATCGCTTCTCGGCCTTATGGCTAAGATCAAAGTGTAGTATCTGTTCTTATCAGCTTAACATCTGATAGTTCCTCCATTGGAGGACAACAAATGTTAAACTGATTTTTGGAATCAGACGGAGTGCTAGGAGCTTGCTCCACCTCTGTCGCGGGTTGGCCCGGTATTGCAGTACCGCCGGGATTTCGGCCCAACTGAATAATAAATTTTACAAGATAAAATAAAAGCTATATTATATCAACTGGTTTATAAACATAGCCCCTGTTTGATTAAAGGTAGAGAGTGACATTTCAGAGACCCATATGATGTTTTTCATATTGATTTGTTTGCTGTGTGTGAATCCATTTGGTTTACAATACAAAGAATAATTTTTTTCGACTAGTGAAATTCTTAGCCGATGTGAGTACTAGGCTTTATTATAAAGTAAGATATTATAAGAAAATCACGACTTTTAAGTTGTTAGTTAATAATTCGTATATTTATTTCGATAATACACCTATTATGAATACAGTTCGCTTTTTGATTGTTTGTATTAATTTGCTTTGGTACAGTTAGGGACTTTTTATCATCTTCATGCTAGATTTGCTTATTGAATGTAAAAAAAAGAACCTTGAAGGCATATCTCCTATTTTCGACAATGTAGTTTGGTTAAAAAGGAACATCATCCAAATTGCACATCGACAACAAACATGTTTATTATACGGGTAGCTGCTTATACGAGTTAGAAAGGCATTAGGTGTGCGGAAATATTGCAATACTGTTGATTAATTAACATGGAGATGAGAAAACGCCCCTTAAGACCATACAATTACAAAGTTCAGTGGAGATACGCTCTTCTCAAGGGCGCCTCAATCATTGTTCCTAACACTCCGTTCCGCATTCAACAACAAAAGTAAAGTAGACATTTCGAAAGTATACAAATAATCGATTTAAATAATTTTCAGCAATTACGATACGTTAATATACTTTTTGTCAAGGTGAATGCTTAGTTTTCGGTGTTTGGCTTCGCTTTTATAAAGGACAACTTCAACTACGGAACAATCTGAGGCTGGCTGCTTCCTTCGTGGCTAACTATTAGCATGTGTACTAACTGGTGAATAGCTGCGCTATGCTCCCACAAACAACATCAACCGTAACAATGCGCTTACATATCTTTGGCGAGAGACCACTACGTTCAATTGAATCGAAAAAAAGGGAAGAGATTTGTGATGTGTGTAACGTATACAATGCCATAGAGCTACAGTTAAAGAGAGTGTGTTTTCGTGTGGGTTATGCCTTAAACGACGACAGATTTTGTGTTTGACCATCTCGAACCAGTCGCAGGTCTTAGACAACCACTGCTCCAGCCTCCGAGCGGCTGACTGGTAGATCGGGGCAATTTTTCCAGGTGTCCGAGAGTGGATCATAACATTCGACAGCATTGATAGTCACTTGGGCGCGGTAAAAGTTTACCTCACAGGGCTGCAAGAGAACGAATATAAAATACATTAGAGATATTATTTCTTTTATAATCCAGTTATGACTAAAATACAGTGTTGCCAGATGAAAATTCAGCTTTCCCCCTAAAAATCTCAATCTGTCGATATTTCCCCCTTAAAAAATCAGTTTACCCCCTAAATTAAAAAAAAACAGTTAATTTCGGACATGTACAATAAATTATAAATATCTCAATAAATTATAAATATCTCAATATGACGTAGAAATGTTAAGATTGGAAAAATCTGTGTAGTAAAATATTCCCCTAAAAATTTCTCCCCCCTTAAATTCCACCTAACACGTCAAAAAACCCCTAAATCTAGGGAAAAAAACCCCTGATCTGGGAACACTGCTAAAATATTAAATAGGTATACAATAATTCATTATAACATTTAAACACTTGGTTTAAAAGCGATCGATCATAAATCTGGTTGAGGCTTAACCCAAACTTAAATTTTTTAAGTTTAAAAGTGATATTTTTAGCCAATTTTGGTTATTAATGTTTAAAAATGTTTTCATAAAATCATAATTATATTGTTTTGTAAAACAAATTTTGTAAACGATAACTATTCGGTAAACACCGTTTTAAAAAAATGAAGTTTATATTAAATCCGCCGCCTAATCGTAACTTTCTCGGACTGAGATTACCTGATCGCCGCCAGCTACGTAAAGCAGTCCATCGGCAGCGGCCACGGCAGGAATGGCTCTGGGCACGTTGAGTGCACAAACGGTTGTCCACTTGTCCTCGTCGAAGCTGTAGCGCTCGACGGAGCTGAGAATGTCCTGGCTGATGCTACTGCCGCCGACCACATACAAGTAGCGATCCAGAACGGCGACGCCCATTTGACAGCGGGCTGTTTGCATGCGAGCCAGCTCGGTCCACTCTTTGGTCACTGGATTATAGCTGCAATGAAGGTGGTTAGATTAAACTATTCTAAAATATATATGTATTTTAAAATACCTAATTAGATCCGGGAGATGACGGGTTGTGGTTGTGCAGCCTCCCACAATGTAGATGAGACCCTCGAAACTAACCACGCCCATGCTGAATCTCGGCTGCGGCATGCTGCCCATCAGTTTCCAGAGATCCTGCTCCGGATCGTAGCACTCCATGGAGCCGCCGATGTCGTCGCCTATCCAACCGCCCACGGCGAACAGATTGCCGCCCATGGTGCAGAGACCGAACTCGCAGCGCGGCACAATCATGGGGGCAATCGGCTGCCAGACGTCGTTCTGCGGATCGTAGACCTCGCCGTTGGCCAGAATCTGTGATCCGCGCTCCCCGCCAACCACATAGATCTTGCCATTTAAGGCTGAGACGCCCGGCAAAATGCGTCCCACCTCCATGGGCGCCGTCTCCGTCCACTCGCGTCGGAATATATCGAACTTGGCCACCGTCTCGAAGATGCAGTCGGCCGAGTTCCAGGTGCGCGGCGTGTCCCTGTGCGAACCGCCAATGATATAGATGTTCTTCTTGGCCAGCTGCCGCGGGCAGACGCGCAGCGGCACAAGTTGTCCGCGCTTGGACGCAATGTCCCGGCAAATGGAGCGCAGGGCTATCTTCACGGACATGTCGCGACAGTCGTCCTTCAGAGCCTTGTCGATCACCTTTACCGGCACAAGGGCCATGCGCACGTGGGACAGGACATCGAAGACGTAGCAGCGGCGCTGCGTTACGTCGTGCTTAATCCAGCGCAGAGCCGCCTGGAACACCTGCGACTCGGAGTCCACGCGCAGCAGCTCCGAGTTCAGCAGCTGCGAGAGCAGAGTCTGTGGCGTTTCTAGGAACTCATCCTCCAGCGTTATCTGGTTGGGAGAACGGAAGAGGCAAATTAATTACATATATATTGTGTATGGAAATTGCTACTATCCTACACTCAAATGCAGGAACCATTACTTTATTTAATCATTAAATTTCAGTTTAAATCAGCTGGATTGACAAACAGGAAGCAAATCAATTTGCACTAGTTTAAATATATTTTAAACTGTTGAACAGAATAGAACGATATTCAAAAGAATAATCTCTGTGTTCCACAGTGGAAATCTAGAATCTACAGATTTTCTACATTAAACATTAAATAAGACCTAAGATTTTTTATACTTTATGGTAAGAATCCACGAATATACTAAAATTCCACGTAAAAATTAAAATAAGTCTATAATATATAAGACGAACTATCAGATTAAACACAACATAACTTTAATAAAATAATAATATTCATTGTTAATTATAATAAGATTGTTAAAAGTTTGAATTCGATTTTCTGGATCAAAAGTAATTCTTTGATTATATTTTCTCTTGTAATGAATTTAGTTTTCTCATTTTTAAAGTATTTGAAATCTATTTGTATGGGAAATTGTTTTTCATTGGTGTCTACTAGTGTCTAGAATGTTTAATTCAAAGAAAACCTAACAGCTCATAGCCAAGCCTTTTAAATTCACAATAATTCTATAATATATTAGAGGAAATATCAGATTAAATACAACATAACTTTAATAAATTAATAATATTAATTGTTAATAATAATAGGTTTGTTAAAGCTTTGAATTCGATTTTCTGGATCAAAAGTAATTAATTGATTATATATTTTCTTTTGTAATTAAGTTTGTAGTTTCCCATTTTTTGAAGTTTTTGAGATATATTTATATTATATTTATATTTATTAAAATTACAATAATTCTATAATATATTAGACGAACTATCAGATTCGATACAAAATAACTTTAATAAAATAATAATATTTATTGTTAATTATAATAGATTGAATTCGATTTTCTGGATCAAAAGTACCTAACTGATTATATTTTCTATTGTAATGAATTTAGTTTTCTATTTTTCAAAGTTATTGAGATCTATTTGTATGGGCAATTGTTTTTCAATAGTGTCTAGTGCCTAGAATGTCTGATTTAAAGAACACCTTGCAGCTTATAGCCAACCAAGCCTTTCAAGTGCCTCGAACTCACCGCTGGGAAATTGGCGTGGACAAAGTTCAGTGCACTCTTGGCCAACGACTCGCAGTTGTGGGCCTCCGCGAAGCGTAAAATGCCCAAAGCATTGGAGGCGTGCAGCTCGCGGCAGAGGAACTCGCAGCAGCCGTCGACCACCTCGTTCAGCTGCAGCATGTCGGCGGCGGCGAGCAGTTCCTGGACATTGGACTGGGGATTGGGAATTCGGAATTAGGGATTAAGATAACAGATCAGATAGAAGGAAATCCTTAGCTCACCTGGGTGATTTCACAGCGACCCGTGTAGATAAAGTCGAGCAGGATGTTCAGGATGTCGCCGTCGATGGTGTGCAGCACCACCGACTTCTGCTTGACCTCGTTTAGGCCCAGTTCGGGTCGGAACATGGCCTCGAAGTAGGCGCTGGCCGCACTGAGGACCGCCCGATGGGCACTCAATGTGGCCATTCCGGCGATGATCTCCACGTCGCAGAAGCGCGACTGTTCGCGCAGCTGGTTGAGATTCGAGAGCACCTTGAACGGATATTGGGCATTGCAGTACGAGGGCAGATTTGTGCGTTGGCTGGCCGCCGTGGCTCCCGAGCTGCCGAGATTTTGGCCAAAGAAGTCACCGTCGCCGCCGCCGGTGGGAGTCTGATTGGCGTTCTGATTGGCATTCGCATTCGGACTGGGATTGCCATTGTATTCGTGGTGGTGTATCTGGTACGTTTTTAACGGTGGCATTTCGTCTTTTCCTTTGTGTGTGTTTTTTTTTGTTTTTTTTTTCGAGGGTATCGTATCGCCTTGGTAAATGCAACAGCTCAGCTCAGACTCTTCACATTCAATTGTTGTTTGGCTTAATTAAAATTAATTACACTTCACCCGTTGGACGTTGTTGTTGTTGTCCGTTCATTTTCCTCCAATCAGAAGGCAAACACACACACACACACCCAACCTGCAGTACAGGTTTTCATTTCACTGCAAAAACCGAGATCCGATTTCTTTTCAAGCTATTTTCCCCATTTAGGACAAGCATTTATGTTGATAAAATGATAGCGTATATCATTTATAACGTATACGTATTGCCAGTGGGTTCAATAAACATTTCTAAAGTGCTGTGCTGAGAAGGGCCGATAGTTTATAAAGTACTGAAAATTTGACAGCCTATTCGATAGCGGCAAACCATTCGATAACTGGTGAAAATATCGATGTTTCCACTGCAACTATCGATTGTTAAAGCTATCGTATTTGGTCCACCTCTTGTTGTTATTTAATTATTTAACTTTATTTTTACCGAGTTTTCAATGAAAACGTGACAAAATGTTGTCCCGTAAATTGCTAAACCTCCGCCTGGGTCACCTGGCACGCCGCTGGGCCAGCACCGACCCACTGAGCATCCAGAACGAGAAGCTACAGGCCTATTTGGAGTCACTGCGCCAGGAGTACTACGCCGTGCGGGTGAATGCATCGGGGAACAGCAAATCCTACGCCCGCCTGGCCCAGCTGGAGGGCGTGGTCAGCGCCCTGGAGCAGCGACGCGTCCTGGAGCGCCACATCACCAGCGCCAAGGACATGGAGCTGGAGAAGGACGAGGATATGCGCCAGTTGATGCGGGAGGAGAACGAGGTCTATGCGGATCTGCTGGACAAGCAGGATGGCGCTCTGCTGCAGGAACTGCTCACCCTGTCGGATGACGAGGTCTATCCGGCACTGATCTTCGGCCTGAATGCCGGTGCCGGCGGCCAGGAGGCCATGCTGTTCGCCCAGGAGCTGTACGAGATGTACACCGGCTACTTTGAGCACATGGGCTGGGATTGGGAGGAGTTTGCCAGCGAGGGCACCGACCTGGGCGGTCTGCGACATGCTAGCCTCATGGTCAGTGGCGAGGATGCCTTCCGCTGGCTGCGCTACGAGGCGGGAGTCCATCGGGTGCAGCGTGTGCCGGCCACCGAGAAATCTGGACGGATGCACACCAGCACGGCCTCAATTACAGTGATTCCCCGGCCGGCAGACATCCAAGTGCACATCGCCGAGAAGGATCTGAAGATCGAGACGAAGCGGGCGAGTGGAGCGGGCGGTCAGCATGTGAACACCACGGATTCCGCTGTGCGCATCGTCCATCTGCCCACCGGTTTGGCGGTGGAGGCGCAATCAGAGCGCTCGCAGCTGAAGAATCGGGAGCTGGCCATGAAGCGTCTGCGCTCGCGTCTAGTGCAACAGCAACTGGAGAGCGCGGAGGCCAGCAAAATGGCTACGAAGAAGGCGCAACAAGGTAGCCTCAACCGCAACGAGAAGATTCGCACATACAATTTCGTCCAGGATCGGATCACAGACCATAGGATTCAGGGCGGCACGCTGCACAATCTGGATGGTTTCCTCAAGGGCGGCGAGCAACTGAGTGGCCTGATCGAGAAGCTGCAGCTGGAGCAGCGAAAGGAGCGACTGAAGGAGCTGCTGGAGACGTGGCAGCCGCCCAAGGAGGAGGTTAAGAAAAACTAGAGCTACCTTTGATTGTTACTACATTTATACGCCTGTGTTTTAAAGGGTGATTAACCTCGGATTTTGCATATTTGTCCATTTTTGGTACGATTTTTTAGTAAAATTTCTAGGTAGGTGTCATATTTTTCAAATGTAATAAATTCGAATGCATATCGGAAATATGCAAAAAATATATGCATAAGATATGCAAAAAAAATGGCAAAAATAAATACAAACAACTGGAGGCTAAAACTTTTAATGCAGCCCTCTGGTATTCTACTACTATTTTACTATTTTTGCCCCCTTCTCGCCAACTTGTTGGAAATATAAATAGTTTCCTTAAATTTGGGAATAAATTAGATATCCCAGAAATGACGAAAAGAAACAAACAGTTTTCTTCGGGTAAATTAGGTTGGCTATGAATGGTCAGTTTATTTTATATTTTGCATGTTTTATGTATATGCATTTTATGCAAATATGCAAAAAAAATTAAATATGCCATTAATTTTAAACTTTAAAGTTTTCGGAATTGATCTACCTTTATCCTATAAAAAATATGCAAATATGCAAAATCTGAGGTCTATTAATCACCCTTGCTCATTGTTAAATAGAGAAAACTTAGTTATGAAAGGAAGAAACTAGTTTATTTCAACAAACTCTCGCCCAATCGGCGGCACTGCCCATGTGCAGCAGATGCTCCTTGACAGCCGCCTCCAGAATATCCCGGATTTCGCGACAACCGGCCATTGCAGTCTCGATGACGGTCTCCAAGTGGTCGATGTGGAACCGCTCGCTCATCTCCAGGAAGGCGATCTTCTCGGCGGTGGGCAGGGCGGCCACGGTCAGCGTGGGTCCGCCGGAAACCTCCTCGAAGTGCGAGATGTCCGTGAGCGGAATGTTCGATTTGCTCAGCGAAGCGGTGCAGGCGACAATGAACTCATTCAGGCAGATACCGGCATCAATCAAAGCCAAAGTGGCCGCATTCAGGGCCACCGCATAGTTGGCCCCGTCCGCCTGGAGCACCTCCACATAGATGTCGATCTGGGAGCGCGGATAGAGCTCCGATTTGATGGCCGCACTGAGCGCCTGCTGCAGGTACATCTTGAACTCCAGCGATTTGCGGTCGCCGCGCGGACGATTCTTGCGCTCCGCCGTGGAGAACGTGGCCTGGCTGTACTGGCAGTTGATGATCACTTCGTTGGACTCCGTTTTCTTGCCCTTCGCCTGGTGCGGCCCATAGACGGCGGCCAGGACCTTGGTGTTGCCCTGCTCCATGTAGGCACTCCCGTCGGGCTGCTCGAAGACGCCCAGTTTGCACTTGATGTGGCGCAGCTCGTGCGGACGACGGCCGTCCAGGCGGAGGCCCTGCTCACTGAGCAGCTCAAAGTTTCCGGCCATCTCTTCGCGCTTTTAAAATTAAATAATCTTCGAAATAAATAAAGATCACACGTGCGGCGCGCTTTGTTTACAATTTTAGCAGTGGAGAAAAACGTTACCCAACACTGCTAGGTACGTACCTAATGGGTACTTTTTAAAATTAAATCATTTTTTAATAATAAATCATAATAAAATAAATGATTTTTTTTTTAATTTGCCAATAACATTTAATTTTTTAATATTAAACATTTGTTTTCCTTACAAATCCCCTTGAATAACCCTATTACTGGCAATATGTCGTCACTTTACAACACCAATGACTATCGTAGTAATCGATTTTCGATAACAATTCATCGTTCGTAGAATTATTAAGTGGCAACTCCAAAATATATAAATAGTTTCCGAGTGCAAAAAACTGTATTTATGGGAATAAAATAGATAAATATCAGCTGAATCGTGTGAAAAGTAGTGCTCGCTAGCAGCATAAAGCCGCACCATGTCAAAGTCAAGCGCAGGTGGGTTAACATCAGCGGGAAAACCGCTCAAACGCAGCAGACGCTTCCTCCGGAGGCGCTCACAAAACAAAAACACAAAAATAACTAAACCTCCTTCCGGATTCCACAGCACGCTGGGTGAAGTTCTTCAATGCGGCGGGCATCCCTTCGCCCGCGGCCGCCGGCTACGCGCATGTCTTCGTGGAGAACCGCATCCAGGACGACATGCTGCTGGATCTCAACAAGGAGTATCTGCGGGAAATGGGCATCACGCTGATGGGTGACATAATTGCCATCCTGCGGCACTCGAAGAGCGTCTGCGAGCAGAATGCCCGGGATCAGGTGATGACCACCGATGTGGTGGTGCAGCCTATAGCACGTCCGGTGTCGCCAAAGGTCAAGACGCCGGTGGCGGCTGCCAAACCAAAGGTATCGCCGCCCGCAAAGCCGGCGAGACGGGTGCTGCCCGAGCACGAGGGCAAATACAAGGTGACACTGCCCTCGGGCACCACAGAGCGCAGCAAACAGATCCTGGCCAAGCGGGAGAAGCGTGGGTTCAAAGCTAACTTAACTTTAATTAACCGAAAATATTAATTCCGATAATCCCCCTTTCAGTTTACTCCGATCGCGTGAGCAGCTCCAAGAAGCCAGCCATCTTTTCGCGCCTGCACGCCGCCAGTGGCGAGGACGAGGCCCAGGAGGGCATCGTGTCCAGCTCCGGCGAGAGCAGCGTTCGCGTGCACATCACCGGGGTGTCCAAGACACCGGAAACCTCCTCCGGAGTCTTTGCTCGACTGGGCGGCAAGCAATCCAGCGATGTCACCCTAACCAAGGAAATAAAGTCAATCCTGAAGAACACACAACGTTCGGTGACCAAGAACTCGCCCATTGTCAAGGCCAAGAAGGTGGCCGCCTCCACGGTGCCGCAGCAAAAGGTCATGCTCGTCCACAAGGTTCCCCTAAAAAGGGGCGACGACGAAGACGACAGTATGGAAGATGTAGGAAGCGATGAGGATGACTTTGTGTCCAGCGATGAGGGCGAGGACTACGAAATGGGTGCCGCCGAAAAGATTGTTAAATTCGCTTCTACAGCAGAGGTTCGTGAAATTGCACCCGAGTCGTCCTACAAAAACAGGCATGGCAAAAACTTTGCCAACAACATTAAATCGAGGCTGGGAATGGGTAGGTTTGGAGAACGACAAGTAAACCATCCTCCATTAACTCTTAAATTTGATTTCTAGTGTCCAAACTTCATGCCACCAAGAAGACCTACAACCTAAAGGCATCGCCCTCGAAGAAACCACAGGCTCGCCTAAGCCCTGTAAAGGGCAAGGCCATACGCATGCGCAGCGACGAGCTGATGGTTCGCCAGGACACGCTGCCTGTCCACAAGAGGCTGGGAGGCAACTCCTCTTCCGCTCCTGTAAGAGCTCCGCCAGCAGCACCACAACGCCATTATCAGCAGCGACCGGAGCCACCGAAGAAGAAATATGTTCCGCCCAGGCGCTATAACAGCATGAATGCAGGCCATAACAAGCCACGCGATCAGTCTGGCTCTGTCTTCGACCGCCTGGGCTTCAATAACTCTATGTAAAATATAAGTAATCTGTGTCCCTCTGAAATCGTTTTAAGTTCAATGCCCCTAACTAACTTTGCCAGTAAATGTTCGAATTGAAGTAGAAATCTGTTTAAAATGATTCAAATGGAAATTATTCTGTACAACGGTTATAGTTAAATAGAAAGATACCACCATGGAAACAATAGCTACTTGGGGAGTTGTTTTTGATTCAAGGTGATTCCAAGACTTCTCTTTCGAGAACTGATACAATTAGAAATCTGTTTTAACTGTTTAAAAGGAAAATAGTAGAACGGCTAAATGAGAATAAAATCCTAAGCAATAGGTGCTCAGAAAATAGATGATTTTCTATTTTTCATGTAGTATAAGAGATTATTTAATTACCATAGAAACAACAGCTTTTTTGAGGGCTATTTTTGATTCGTGGTGATTCCAAGATTATTTTTTGAAAACTGAGTCAATTTTTCTAAATTCCCACTTAGTACCCAATTTGTCTTTGCAAAAAAAACCAACAGAATTCTTTACTTTTACGATTTAAAAATGATTTATTTTGTTTATAATTAATGTTATGTACAATTACGCTAGGGCTTCGCTTCCGTTCATAATGTACAATCTGTCGGCGGTCACTTAAAGGTCTATATCACTGGTTGCTAGGCAAATCACTCCGTTTCGAATCATTTAGTCTGGTTGTCAGGCTCCAACGCTCTGCTCATTGTTGGAGCAGCGCCTGGAGGGCCTGTTTCCATTCCAGAGGCCAGGTGTTGGCATCCGGATTGATGTTGAGCAGTTGGCGCATTTGGAGGACCGCCCGTTGCTTTTGTAGCATGTAGGCGTAGGCCTGGTGATTGAAGACCGGTGAGTGGGTGACCGGATGCTGGGTCACCGGAAGTTGGGTGGCCGCCAGCGGATATTGCTGCTGCTGCTGCGGTGGAGTAGTGGGTGGCGTGGGAGGCAGTGAATGCTGGTGGATCAACTGATGTTGGATACTCCTCTGCTCTGTCTCCTGTCGTCGCTTCCTTGGGGTATTCTCGCTCAGGGCGTAGGGACGAAAAAGGGGCGTGGCTGAGGCAGTGGGTTGGGCTCCCACCTCCTTGCTGCTCTTCTTGCCAAACTTTTTGTGCGTATAGCCCGAGGTCTTGAACTTCTTGTGGGTATAACTCTCGCTGACCTCCGACTCGTTGTGGTAATCCATGTTTGAAGGTGCCATGATATTGGTTTTAAGATCGCGTTCTCTAAGTTGCACTGATGTAATGATGTTTTCACGACGGCTGTTAAGGCTCGACTGTGCTCCTGCTGCTGCGCAACCTGGTTTATATACTCCAGACTCCTACCTGAAATTATCATTAAGGCCGAGTGCGCCTTGTTTATGGGAAAATCTTCGTTGACAAAAGGTTGGCATTGTCGTAAAGAGAAAAGGATTTCGGATTTCGGCAACACCCTCACTACCTGCAACGGAATCTACCTGCTCGACCGAAAGTCCTTTGTAATTAATTTTTCATTTGCTGCAACGGGCTCGCACCTTCTTTTGTGTCTTCCAGGTCGTTTGGGTTTTTCCTGGAAATTTCCCCAGAACATTTCTCGAGAACACTCTTCTACCTCGAGATCTGCAGCGCCTGCGCTTGCCACTCTTTGATGATGGCCAAGTCGCCTGGACGCATCGGAATCTGGAATCTTATCTCGCTTACCGCTAATCTGCCTCATTAAGTTCTCGTCCATCGGGGATACCTTCGATGCGTTCCAGAAAATGCCAGCCGCTGTTTAGTCACAATGCTCATTGAATGGAAATTTATTGGGATTTTCCCGAATCGTTGCGTGCCTGTCCGTCCTAGTCCGTCTGAGGGATTTCTTGCGCAGTTTCATCTTCGTTTCGTGGATACTTTCCAGTTTAGGTTGTATAGGTATATAGGTAACATACATATATTAAACTATTTGATGAGATATTAAAAGAAGATAGTCTTGGGTGATTTTTTCAATTCTCATGTTATACAAGCCTTGAAAGTCCTCAAATTTGAATTCATTAAATCATACATTTTTTTGATCATTTATCCGTTATTTAGAGTACAAGAAAAATGATGGACAGCCAATGTAAGAAAACATAATTTTGATAATGTCTTTCTATACATTTTCGATTTTGGTTATTAAATTAAAATTAGACATTTTCAAAAGCAAAGATCGTTACTTATAAAGATCGTTAAGTTATATGAGTTGACTATGAATTTTCATAGCAACTGTCAGGGTCCATAAATAACAGTTGAGTTAAAATTTTTAATGTCAAAAATAAATTTTTTCTTTACTTTTTCCCATTAAGTCAAAAAATAAAATTCACCAAATGTCGAAAGGTACTAAAATTTTATGTACTCTTGCTAATAAAAAATTATAAAAAACAGCCAAGTTGGTAATCTCGAATACCGGTCCCTTAAAAATGTATGAAAGTTTAAAGTTAAATAATTTTTTGCAATGTTAATTTATGGCAAATCCTGTTCATTTTGTTCAAACTTGATCGTCTCACAACTACCCACAATCATTATAGTGATTTTAATGGAGTTTACACTTTCAGATTTGTCAGCCAATTGATACTGGTTTTACCGAGTTATCCCAAATTTTCTTATAAAATAGCAAACAGGTTTAAGAGCATAAAATATTACTTTTTGTAGGGTTCAAAAATAAAATAGGCATGGGTGCAATGTAAATTGATGAATTTTATATGCTTAACATAACATTTTTATTGGTTTTTTTTTAACACTTTGGTAATGATATTGATCCACTATCAATAGTGAACTCAAAAATCTAATTTGTGTGATAGTCAGATGCTGTTTCTCGGAACCAGATAAATCTTATAAAAAATCAAGAAATATTCCGTGGTATCCATATCCCACCGTTGAACATAAGTCCGCCTATGAGTATAAGTGCATTTTCCCATCCACCGAACTCCTGATTCAACATTATACAATGTGACATTTAATTGTATCATCGGTGAAAGCACTTCCTGGTAGCGTAATACTAACAATTCTGGTCCTTACAGGTCATTCCCCCAGCAAAGAGGAAACACCTTCGAGGACCCCATACAATCGATTCTTTCCGTTCCAGAACAGATGGAAATTGGTCGATATAATGGAAGGGAACAATCAAACAATACGGCAATCTTTCACTGTAATACTTCAACTGAACAAATAGCAACACCTACTCCGCTCCTGCTTATTGACTCTGGATTTTCTTGAGGGCTGGTCTCAAGCCCACCTGAAATAAATCCGCTTAGGCGAGGGAGAACGTTGAAATGTGAGAACCAGCCAGTCTTATATTCGTTCTCTGACTGCATAAATCAATGGACAAAAGGCATTGAATGAAACGAAAAATTCGACATAATGCCAAAGAGCCGAGAAACCAGAAAGCAGAAGAAGGAGCATTCAGTAATTACCGAGTTTCTAGGATTTACTATATGTATAGGTACCGAATCTCCCGACCCAGAGACACATTTTCAGCTGGCCAAGCTGAAAGTCATAAACGCTTGTTTTTCGGATCGATATCGGGGCAGGGGCATTGAGAACGGGAACTGCTATTCAGGTGCCACAAAGAAAGCCGAAACAATAGCGGGCCGGCAGACAGCCTGGCCGAATTGAGCGCCAGGATTAGAGATTACAGAGATCCCTTCGAGACGGCTCCGAACAACAGGTAATTCCGCCGAAAATCGCCGGCCATGTAAACAGACAACAACTGGTTTATGACACCCTCGAAAGGAATGGAAGAAGCGGGCCGACCAGATTGTCAGCCGGCGGATTAGGGACTCCTTCTTCAGGTAAGCGAGAAAAAAAAACCGATTAGTTTTGGGTCAGTTTTAGGCAATGAATGAACTGAGTTGGGGAAATACCTGATCGCGTCCCCAGGTAAACGGTGGGAAAATCGCAGGGATTTGGGGGAGGCTCTGTGATTACCTAATGTTGCATATAACGGGAAGCCAGGAGGAGGGGCAGCACAGTCGTCTCAAAGACAGCGAAGCAAACACATCATCACCAGTGACATCAATCAATTTGATAGACAAACAATTATCATGGAGAACTATAGCCACAAGAAATTCACTGGAGCCCTGAAGCGAAAGCGCAGCCAGGATGGGGATTCCGATGACGATGTGGTCTTCATCATGGAGCAGCCTGGTCAGCGGACTCCGGAGCAGCCACAGCCAAAGCGTCGCTTCTTCCGTCCCTGGACGGATGATGAGATCGTGGTGGCCGAGAAGGAGCAGCCACAGCCGCCGCGGAAAAGTGCGGTGACTCCACCACCCGGCGACACCACCTACCATGCCAACATGGTGCGCAATCATCACAAGCGCCGCCAGAGGAGCCCACAGGAGCAACTGCGTCGCGATAGGAACACCTTGGCCAGCCTGCGACACCGGCGATCGCAGCAGCAACAGCAGCAGCTCATCGAACAGCAGTACTTGGCCAGCAGGATTCAGCATGAGGCCCAGCTCCAGCAGCAGATCCGATTGAGCTTGTATTATGTGCGATTCCTTCAACAAACGATGGTCAACATGGAGCCACTGCCTCCGACGCAGCCAAGGCAAATGATCCCGCCCCAACAGACCGCCACTCAGCATCCTTGAAGGGTGGGCACAATCTTCAAACTCGACTTGGCGCTGTCCAAGCGCTCTAAACTATATTTATTGTAAACTAAGTAGCACCTAGCCTTGTGATCGCTTCTAAAGTTATATTTATTTATTTGGTTGACTAAACAATAAACACAACAATTGTTATCGAAGCTAATTGACATTTTTATTGGATGGGGTTCTTTTTCATTAACGAGTTTCAAAAGTCCCTTTTTTAATTTTGAGCAATTTCATTGTACTCACTTCAATCAAAAAGGCAACGAAACGAAAATTTCTATACAAAAGTGACAGCGGAAATTTTCGTAATCAAAATATTGTATTGAGATTTCATTTCGTAGGCTTTGTGATTGAAGGCCTAACTTGGAATATTCTTACATTATCTAAACGGCTAGAAATAAGTCAATATAAATAAATGAAAAATAAACTATTACTTTAAGTGCTTTTAAATCGACTAAATAATATTATATTAATTTTTTTACTTTCCACCCTTTTCAATTTTTAAATAATTTACCAGATTGCTGCTTTAATTTGTGGAGTCTGGAAATAAGATTAGAATTTTAAAGCATATCTTAGAGCATTGTACTAGATCCAGATTGGAAATCTTAATTTCTCCTTTCTGGACTGCAAAACAATTGCTAAATGCTGATTAGTTGTAGACCAAATTAACCGGAAGCTACATAACATAAGAGTTACTTCATTGGTTTCATTTACGTTAATCAATTCAAGAAACCTATTATACAATAAATTTCTTGGCAGAGTAATTTGCAATGCTAATTTAAAATAAATAGCTAAGAACACATACATAAGACAATACTAGTGATTCATGCATAGGGTATTACGAGGTTTGAACACATATAACTCAAGTGACATAGAATAGGAAATACGGAATAAATAAGCTATTTATTTCAGGTGACTTCAATTATTTAATTTATAATTAAATCGGCATAGCCAAACAACTAATGTGTTGAAAGGTAATTCAACGATTAGGACAATAAGATCCGCCTTTGCGATTACACAAATAATGAAATCATCTTATAGGGTAAATCATTCTTCAACAGATTTTTAATTTATCGTAGCACCTACCTTTGTAGGTAGATTAATTACAGAATTCAATGAAAAACCATGTAAAAAATCAATAATAGTTTCAATAAAAAAAATAATAATTATTATTATACCATAAAATAATTTAATTCCTTTTAAGGAATGAGGAATCCAGTTCATTTACCTCTAACAAACCAATTTCCATTAATGCAATTCCTTCTCTATAATCGTAAATCACATCTGGCAGAAGAAGTTTGAAAAGATCCGTGGCATTCCCTAACCAAAGATAAAGTTCTGCATTATCATTCTTCACGAAATGAAGAAGTGTTTGCAAAAAGACCCTCGAGAATTTCCAGGGAATTAAAACAAAGTATGGTGGTGAACTAGGGAGCCAAGGGACCACACGCACGCACAACAAATTGTGTCATGCAGGTCAATAAAAAATATCAGTCGAGAACTTTCCTGTTCCGGTGGTGGCTACCTTTCTACCGATAATCCAGGTAATCCACAAAAAAAGGATAATGCGACGGCAATTAGCGCAGTGATGGAACAGGTCATAAAAATACGGCTTAATCCACAGAAGGACGGCGATTACCTAACGCAGGATGCGCTAATCCCTTTGTTGACAGTCCCAGAATCCCAATGGATTCCCCTTTTTTCGGCTACCTGTGATACCTACCTATGTGGGCATATAAACAGGATATCAATCTCGGTGACCATCATTCAGCAAGCGATCGTCTAACGAGTCACATCACACCAGCAACTATTATCTAACCAATAATACAGAAATGGAGAACACAGCCAGTTATGCACACAAGAAGTTTGTGGTCAGCAAACGGAAAAGGGATTTGGACCAGGACAAGGAGAACTTTAACCCGGAGTCGGAGCAGCCGATTACCAAACGTCGCCAGAGTCCGGGATTCTTCCGTCCCTGGCTGGAAAATGAACAGAACCAGCAGAAGGAAGTACCAGTGGAGAAACCTGCAGTCCAAGGATCCTCAGTCAGCCAGTACCATGCCAACATGGTGCGACGCCACCAGGCACCTCGTCAGCGAAGCCCCAAGGAGCAGATGCGACGGGATCGAAACACCTTGTCCTGCCTTCTCAGCCGACGGGCCAAGCAGGCCCAGGAGGAGCATGTCAATCAGCAGTACGAGCAGTACCGGAGTCACCACGCCGCCATGATGGAGCAGCAGGTCCGCCTGAGCCTCTACTACCGCCAGATCCTCCAGCAGGCGGTCTTTCAGCGAGCCATCACCCCAATCTCACCACCGGGACACCTGCTGCCCCAACAGCAACAGCAGTTCCTCCAGCAGATGGCCCTCTCCCAGCAGATGCTCATCTTCGGTGGTCAGCACTGAGACCTCATTATATCATAATCAGAGACTATGGATAGCACCTATATCATTTTATCATAATCAGAGACTATGGATAGCCCAATCATGTGATTTAGTTTATAAAGCCCTAGGTTCTAATTATTTATTGTTGACTTTGAAATAAAATAACTAAGCCTTTAAATCAAATTACCAGTTTGTCGTTTTGTTACGCAAGGGGTTAAGATCAGGGGATCGAAAAAGCTATATTAATTAAGCAAAGGTTTTCATATTTATTTGATAGTAGATTTAATTAAAGGGCATTGTGCTTGTAATATTGATTTTGTAAAAGATTCTTTGGAAACTAAGATTTAGTTTATCTTAAAAATACTTTATTTTTAAAACAGAGTAAAAACTTTAAAATATTTTTGGAAGCATAAGCATTGAATAGATGACTCACCCTTGCATTGAAAAATATTTCCCAGAAAACATTTACCAAAAGTCATTACCCAGCAAAGTTCAACTAATTGTTGGCCAGCTAATTTTCATGGCGTTCTCATTTTGCGACAGCTTTCGTCAAGGTTCAAGCCAGCACAAAGAACCATATTTTCAGTTGGCCGAGCTTTTGCCATCGGCGGGCAAATATTGACTGAGATCGGATGTGTAGATAGGGAGATATGGCCAAAGTCCGGCTAAAGCTTCAAGTTCAATTGGGCTGCGGTTACAAAACTGAAAACTTTAAGCACAGAAATGCAATTTTCAATGTTAGGCCAGCCAAAAAGCCAAAAGAGCCACAGAAAAACTTTACAATTAACTGAAATTGATGTTGGTTGCATGGTGCAAGTGCAAAGTGGTTTACTGGGTTGTTGTGGCCGCGACGGAAATTTTCTGCACTTGGTTTTCCCGCCATAGGAAGTCGGACTGCTGCCAAGTATTATCAATGAAAATTAAAAGTAATTAACTGCGTTCGCAGCTCGCCGATTGCGCAATTGCAAAAGAGTTAATTACGCAGAGGGGACTTCCCCTGCAGCATGAATACTCGAATTAAGTAAAGCTCTGCTTTTTCACTCACAGCCCGATTCAGTTGGCTGCACTTTCGGCGGGTGCACTCAAAGTTTTGTCCATGCCTTTATGTTTTCTTCATCTGATCACCTGAACTTCCTTATAGACCGTTGATTTTCTACTTGGCTAGGCATTATGCAAGTTAGGTGGAGTGAAAGCACTGGAAGTTTGAAGCACAGGTTTTTAAGTATTTTACCCTTAATTTAACTGACCTAACAAGTTATTTCGAATAACTTATTTTAAAAGTATTTCTAAATCCGGTCGAATTTCTTAAAGATGGTAATTTAAATTGACTAAAATAATAGTTATTCTTTCTTGTGTGTATAACGAATAAATAATTTCACATTACCAAAAATATTGGTTTAAACGTTCTTTTAATATTAGTTTTTCTTCTTAATGCAAAGAGAATTTGTTTTTTGCGATATTCGTAGCATTTCATTGTTAAATCGTTTTTTATTTCATTTTCTAATTAATAAGAAACCCGAATTAAAAAAAAAACCCAAGTCAGCAACTGAGATGCCTCAAAGTTTTGAAAATTAAAATGAAATTGTTGGGATATGGTACATACATATATGTAGCTCAATTCCCTCTTGGTGATTTTTATTTTTCAATAATGATCCCTGCTTAAAACTGATAATAGTTTGGAATTTTCCTCATAAATGTTCCATTCGATCAAACAACTGGGAAGGAGACATTCAGTTTTCAAATATTTTTAACTCTAGCCAAATAAATTAGAGAAACCATTTGATTTTAAGCATTCTTTAAAGTTCCATCCCATTTCTGCAGGATGTTTCGTAATCAGTACGACAGCGATACGACGGTGTGGAGTCCGCAGGGTCGCCTCTTCCAGGTGGAGTACGCCATGGAGGCGGTGAAGCAGGGAGCGGCCACGGTGGGCCTGAAGAGCGCTGACTTTGCAGTGCTCATCGCCCTGTGCCGCTCGTCCAAGGACACGGATACGCTCCAGAGGAAGATCATGCCGGTGGACGGGCACGTGGGCATGTCCATTGCCGGACTGACGGCGGAAGCTCGCCAGGTGTGCCAGTACATGAGGACCGAGTGCATGGCCTTCCGGCACTCCTACGACTCGGAGTTTCCGGTCCGCCGTCTGGTCGCCAATCTGGGTAACAAGATGCAGGCCACCACCCAGCGCTACGATCGTCGTCCGTATGGAGTGGGCATGCTGGTGGCCGGCTACGATGAGCAGGGAGCTCACATCTACCAGGTAATGCCGACGGCCAATGTCCTCAATTGCCGGGCAATGGCCATTGGATCCCGTTCGCAGAGTGCCCGCACCTACTTGGAGCGGAACATGGAGAGCTTTGAGGGCTGCGGCAAGGATGAACTGATCTGTCATGGGATTCAGGCCATCAGGGGATCCTTGGGCCATGACAACACCGAAAACCTCTCGATTAATGTGGCCATCGTGGGCAAGGATTTGCCCTTCAAAATATTCACGGATGCCGAGAACCAGAGCTATCTGAATATGGTCAAGGTCTTGGAGCCGCCATTTTCGGGGGAGCAGGATGGGCTATCAGAGGAGGGGATGAGCGATGATGACCTGATGGGCCAGGGTCCAAGTGGCAGTGGAATTCCAGTGGATAATGATGCTACTGATGCCTCTACAGGTGGTCATGAAGCCCTTTGAGTGGCGAAGAAACTCTAACAGAGTATACTAAATTCATTGTTTTGTTTGAAGTTTTATTAAAGTTTAATGGGTATTAATCTAGTTTAATATTTGGGTAAAACGATTAGATCTACCATAATTTCCAAACATATCATATGCAAGCTTAACACACAAAAAAATTTTATTGGTGAAATTGACTTATACGGATAGTTATGTAACTATAAAAAATAGTTACGTGTATTTTGTTTTTGCCTTGGGTGGGTGTCTTTACTAATTGTGTGTATTTCTTGTTGTGAAAGTAACTATTTAATTGCTAGAATTGTTTGACAATTATATTGGTTAACTTTACCAACTGTTTTTTTGTGTGAAAGTCTATTATTTGCTTTATAGATAGTTAGACACAAGAAATACTTTTAGTTATTTGTTAAGCAAACGACCTAATCTGATTTATATTATTGGAATACTAATGTTTAGAATCTACTTCTTGGTCAATTAATAAATTAAAAATTTCCACTTTAAGGGGTTATGCAAGTTACTGCCTTTAGCGTGACCAATTCGATTAGTATGGATTTAAAAATGTCGTAGCTGCAACTAGCTAAAGCGTCTAGCTAGTTTAACTTTAAGTGCGACGATGACAGGTGAGTGATGGCTGGGAATAGGAGTAGTTAGCTTTTAAGCCCACACTCACATTTCCAATCCCCATTTCCCATTCCCATAGTTGCGGTTACGATAGGCTTACTGTTGTGCCAGTGGTTTTGCCAGGGTGAAGGGTTAATTCCCAGTGAACCTTATCCGGCTGGCTGGCCCGCCCGTCAATATCCCACCTTGCTCCATAGGGCGATTGTCGATGGGGTGCACAATGATATTCCCGAGGGACTGATGATCGGCCATGAGGCTTTAAGGACAGCCTTTGGTGTCCTACTGGCCAGTTCCAATGGCTCCACGGCGGATGAGGTGCGGGAGGCCATGGCTGTGAACTTGGAATCCCAGAACCTGAAACCCTTGACGGATAAATTTCAAGAGGTCGGTTACGTAGGAGCCTATGTGCCACCTCAACTGAAGATAAAGTCGGAGTATGAGGACATGGTTCGCGACATGGGCGTGGATCTGGTGCCCTCGTCTGCCAACAACACGTTGGAAAGACTCATGAACAAGCTGGAACCCATCAGTTTTGAACTGAGAGATATACCGTCCTCAGATGATCTGCCCTACAACCTGCGTTTGCAGCCCGAAGTCTTCATTGTGACAGCGGCCTCCTTTCAAGCCGAGTGGGCGGATGCGGATTTCCATATCGAGAATCGCCGGATGAGGGAGTTCAATGTGGACGAGCGAAGACAAACCTTTGTGGAAACATTGTATAGTCTGGCGAAAAAGAGACAGGTGGCCCATCTTCATGGGCTGAGGGCCACCATTCTGTTGCTCCCGTTGAAGAATAGTCGGGTGAAGTTCATGGTCCTTCTGCCGGATCTCATCCAAGGATTGCGTCAGCTCGAAAAGGAGCTGGAATTCGTGGATCTGCGAAGCTTACTCGGATTAAAGATGTCTCCCCGACGTTACGATGTTCGTCTGCCTGTAATGAAGATCCTGACCAACATTGAGCTGGCCGACAATCTGGGCTTTCTAGGCATTCGCCAGGTTTTCAATCCCCAAAAAGCCGATCTCAGCCGGATAACGGGTAAAAAAGATCGCCTCTGGGTTCGCCGATTTCCGCATTTGACCTATTTCACTCTGAACGAACAGGGCATTAATATTGGAAAAGATGAAAGACGTCGTAAGTTTGTTTAGTTAGTTCTATAAACATTGGCTTTAAGAATTTTACTCATTTTAGCTGAAGGCCGAATTCAAAATAATGGCGAGACACGGAACCACTTTTATGCCTCACATCCATTCTTTTTCGCTCTGTTGGACGAGCACAAGATCTATGCCACCGGTCGATATGGCCAACTATCGGTTGACCCAGATGATATGTGATTATAAAATGGTGGGAATGTCAATAGATTAAAGATGATTGGGAGAAACACTAAGCTAAAAATGTATATGAATTTGGTTATAATTTTTTACGTTAAATTATTGGACAACATATAAGAAAAACTAGTATATTTCACATGATCACGTAAAAGCATTGTAATATGCAATCAACCGTAAACTTTAATTGACTAGTCCAGCTTTATATGATTTAGCTATGATTCATGAAAGTGGTTAGGCTACTGACCTATGAGTGAGCAGTTTTTCGTCACGCAGTTCGGTTAATATCACCAATAGTTTTTAAGGAAACACAAAACGCATAGTACATAATTTAATTTAATTTATTAAGAAGTACCTGCTTAACCTTTAAGGGCTCTTAAAACTAATTCGCATTTCCCAGCATTTTCTTGAAGAAACTTAACGTAGAACTTAACTATATAATACAATCTCCACAGGAGGATGGTGTGGCTAAATATTCTCCTGCTTGATGCCACCGATCAGGTAATCGATGGTGAAGTTTCTCTTGGAGTTCTCATCGGGAACTCTCCGTGGCGCGGGTTGTGGTTGCTCCTCCTGCTTGACGAGCTGCTTCAGATGATTCAGGTAGACCCGGGCTCGCAGACTCTGCTCGGCGATCTTGAGGTGCTCGCTGGAGCACTCCCTGTACTGCTGCTCGATCTGCAGGTCATCGAACTTCTTCTTCCGCCGACTCATCCTGCAGGCAATGGTGTTCTTGTTCCGGCGCTCCTGATCCTTTGGCGTGCGCTCCTTTTTGGGAAACTTTCGCACCATGTTGACGTGGTACTTGAAGATATCTTGGATGGCCTCGGCTATGATGGGACTCGGTGAGTGGTAGGAAACGCTGGAGGATGAGGAACCCAGGCGACGGCGCTTGGGCAGTGGAGGATATTCAGTGTCTTGGTCACTGAATCCCAGACTCACAGACTGATCGGCCTCATCGGAGGCACTGCGACTGGTGAAGGGTGTGCCGCTTCGGGATATTAGCTCTTCCTTGAGGAGCAAATCGACTGCCTCAACTTTTCGACCAACATCGAATTTCTTGTGGCGATAGATTGGGTGGTTCTCCATGGTATAATGATATGTTCTCTTCTCGAAGTCTCTTGATTGACTGCTGTCCTGTCGACGGCTTCACTAGTTTATATGGGGAAAGCCTTATCTGGCTCTCTTCGAAATCCCCCCACACATTTTATTACTTTGTTTACACAAATCGACGCCGAATTTTCTTTTTGCAAAACGAAAACAAGATCATAAAACCGCTCGATTTGCCTGCGCACGCGTACACGCCACCCAATCCAATCCAATCCCATCCTTACCTACTCATAAGCCCACCCGTCGGGCATCCGTATCTTTCCGTCATGTTTATTCTTGCGTGCATTCAGTTTGGATTTTGAAAACTGCAGATACAATACAATGCAAGTCCCCCGGTGCAGAAGGTGGCGAAATGCGCGCCCCTTGATTGTCTGTCTGGTTCATTCAATTCGTGTTTGTTCCTCTTTGAAAACTATTATCTTTAGTATTTTCCAATGTCGCCGCCATTGTCAAAAGTCATGGGTTTTTGGGTTTGAGTTTGAGTTACTCTTGTTCAATTGGGCTCTTTGCCAAAGTATTTTGCGGCCTCATTTGTCCAACTCCTTTTGTTCTCTGCTGTTGATAAGGTGTGTGTGGCACTGATCTTTTGTTCTCCAGTTGTTTTCCTTTTTAAAGATATCGATTCTTGGAACTGAGAGTGCCATTTCGGGGTTTGCAGTCTACTGCCTAAGATGTTGATAAGATGCCTTCTATTTGGGGTTGCAAAAGGTTGGCAGTCTACGTCTGGTGATAAGGTGCGTTTATCTCTCTTGTGCCAGGTCAACTTAGACGTGTTTTGGAATTTTCTCTTTCAAATTCATCTCTAAAAAGATAAGATCGGTTTTAGCTATCACTTTCAATATTACAAGCGATGTTCCTTTGTTTTCTAATACATTAAAATGTTTTAGTTTGCCACTAAAATAAAGTGTTAATTAAACAATTTTAAATTGTGTACTAATCAGTTTCTGATCATCCAATATATATGACTCATTTCTAGCCGCTAAACTTACTTACTTAAGCACACGTGACAAAATATTAATTAATCAAACAATTCGAATATCGTTGTAAGGTGCAACAACCAGAATTAGCATTATAAACTGATAGCTTTTAACACGTTCACGGTTGACTTTTAATGTTTGATTTAAATTATCATTACTTAGTGGTTGGTATATAGTATACACAAAATTTTCCCGGAAAAACGTACATTTATTTTATTATAGAAATTTAAATAGTGTTTAGTATATGAAAAATAGAATAATATGAAAACCTAATTTAAAAAAATCCACCAAATATTTAGATACTTACTAGACTAGTACTTCAGTTCAGAAATGATAAATTCTTTTCAATTATTTAACTTTTAATTAACATAAGCTAAAGTGTTAAAGCTAGATAGTTAAGTGGTCTGTTTTAATTACGCTGCTGGGACAAAATCGGGACCAAGATCTGGACGCTTCTGAGTCAGCATCACCATGATGAGGAAACATCGAAAGCGGCTTGGATTGGATTGCTTGGATCGCTTGGGACAGCTGCCGGTAGTTGTAGCTTGATGGGTAAGTCGGGTCGCACTGGGGTCGCGATAAGTCAAATCGGATGGCTGGGTGGCTTCCACTTCACGACTCTACCCGGGAATTTAATAATGTCGTTTGTATTTCACTACTGTCTATTGACTTTTGCATTTGCTTTGTTTTCTACAACGGCGGCAGCGACGTAGTCGTCATTAGTTCCAAGCTATTTTTGTTTTCCGCCCACCGCTCCGCCCCCAAATCCCTATTATTTGCTAATGCCGATCGTAGCATCTGTGTTTGAGTCTCTTTTTATTTTGCGTTTGCCTTTGCAATTTCGATTTGATTGGATTTGTTTTGTTTTCTTCCCATAAATAAAAGCCCGGCGCCCATCGCAGCTCTCAGACGTTGATTCGCATTTGCATCGGCCAGATTGAAATAACTGCCAGCTCGTATAAAGTTTCGTCCAACCGAAGAGTCAAAATAATATTGAAATCTTAACTAAATAAAATAAATAGAATATAAATATGGATCGCATGTTGTGTGCTCTTGTTTTAATATCAATCTACGGCGTATGTTTGGCAACAGAAATCGAGTTGCCTCCCGTAGAGTTCAAGCCGGTCCGAGAAATACGTGAGTGTTGAAATTTATTAAATGTGAAAAAATTAACATAATACTAAATATAAAAATAAATACAAATTTATAAGACAAACAAAATTTTTTTCGAGGCAAAACATTAAAAAATTTAAGACACTAAATTATAATAAAAATAATAATAGTAATTTATTAATTAATTCTGATGTTTTGATAATTTTCAATTATAATATATTTGTTTTGCAAAGTTTGTTATCCAAAAGAAAATATTCTTTTTTATCTTTTTATATTATCAAATAAAAACACCTCTTAACGAGGTAAAAAACTAGTGACGATCGCACCTTCAACGTACAAAAGTTCTGATATCAACTTTTGTGACGAAAAATGATTTTAGATGCGACTAAATAAGTACGCTACCTAAAATTTACTCGTTCGGCCCGCTTTAGCAAATATTTAATATCTACACGAATGTTTTTCTGTTTTAGCGTGCCGAATGAATAAATTTTAGGTAGCGTACTTATTTAGTCGCATCTAAAATTATTTTTCGTCACAAAAGTTGATATCAGAACTTTTGTACGTTGAAGGTGCGATCGTCACTAGTTTTTTACCTCGTTAAGAGGTGTTTTTATTTGATATCAGAAGTTTTTGTTTGTTTACTTTTGCTCTCATAGGTGCTAATATAAACATTTAAATTTAAATTGGTCATAAATCATAATTTTTAAACTATTGTATTTTAACGAATTAAGTTAAAAAGGCGTTGAAGTATTTCAAAATACCTTTTAAACGAGGTATAGCACATGTCTGTACCTTTAGTAGTGTAGAACTTAAAAACTAACGAAATTTAGCCATTTTTAGCTATTTTCCCGCTAAAGTAGCGGCTTTTTCCAAAAGTCGTAGAACAAAAGATTCCTATATGGAACTCTTAAGTGCAAATTTACTGATTCCATGACCCTAAAATACAGTTCGGATACCCTCCCACAAAATTCAATACTCAGGGAGCGTTAATTGTTCGAGCTGGCAACAGTGGCTATTTTCGTATAAAAATAACTTTTAAACGTGACTTTTTACAGTAATGTGTTATATACCAAAATTTAAGGAATCTCAAGGGCTATACAGTTTAAGGTTTTAAAGAAAATCGTTAGAGCCGTTTTTGAGAAAAATAAAAAAGCTAAAAAAAAGTTTTAAAAAATTGTCTTTTGTTCATATTTTTTTAACTATTACATTTACACAAATTGCATATAGAAGACGTTTATAGCATTTAAAAATACCTTTCAAACGAGATGCAGCACAAGCCTGTAGCTTTAGTAGTATAGAAGTTACGGCTTTCCGAATTTTAGCTATTTATAGCTGTTTTCCCGCTAAACTAGCGGGTTTTTCCAAAAGTGGTAGAACAAAAGTTTTTTATATCGATATGATGAACGTCATATCAAATTTTCAGAACTTAAAAAACATATTTTGGACAAGTGGACAAGTGGACAAGTGGACAAGTGGACAAACTGACAAACAGAAATTAATTTTCATTTTGGGAAGAAGAAGAAAATCTTATTTTGGCTATAACTTTTGAACGGAGAGTCGGATTTTGACAAATGATCCCTCATTCGACGGGTATTTTCAAGAGGAATACAACTAAAACATTGCGAGGGGGCATTTATCCCCACCGGCCCCAACAGCTCCAAATTTCGAAATTTTCAATTTTTCACTTTCACCGCTCTCTCTCCCAAGCCAATTGATTTTCTTAAAGTCTTGGTATGCAATCCTTTAAGTTTTTGCAATACCTTTCGATTGGTGTATTACTCATTACGATCGGACTATCACTGCCGATTTTCAATTTTGCGGCTATATAATAGTAGTCGCCTTCGCACACTCTCCTGGTGCGCTTCGTCACTACATGGACTGCCGTCCATAGTGATTTACGTCGTTTCTAACAATTTATAAAATACAAATGGTTAATTCGACACTTTAGCAGACTCTTCAGATACAGTCGTTTAATTTTTGATATTATCAGCTAAATAGAAAATTTCAGATATACAAAATTGACTTCGTGATAGCAATAATCATGTGAAGCACGCAACTTTGTGTGAATTTTATAACAAAGCAATTTAGCCATCTGACAGTCAAAAGTTCAAACCCAGATTTCCTTAAAACAATAGCATTGCACAACGTTTAATGCATTGCAATAAATTATAAATAATTACATGAAAAAAATCAGCTTAGGACCAAACTGGAAATACCTTTGCTGACCCTTTAAGGGGTGGTTTATTGGCCAAGAAATAATATTCCCAAAAAAGCAATATGTAAATGAGAAATTAAAACCGCAATTAGTATTCATCACTTCGCAGCAGAATAATAAAAAGATCTGTATGCTGGCTAGAACATTCTAATAAAAATCTTAAATGGAAGAAGTACCCATACTTTAGTAAAGAAATATAATGCAATTAAATAACAACCGAAATATACATAGTTATAAAGTCAAGTTTTAATTATACAAAATTAAAGACTAAAATTATTTTAAATATCATTATCTGACTCGAACGGGAGAGACCATTTAAACCATGACATACACAAAACTTGGATTGTCATGCTGATAAGTGTTGTCTTCAAACAGTTTTTGCCAAAAATAAAACTTCTGGCAAAACATAGCCGTTTAAATTACCTCATTGTGCGAACAACAATTGCAGATGTTATTTTTATACGTTTTTTGCTGACCGAGTCATATGCTGTTGAGGATATAAATATAACTTTTTAATGGGAGAATATAAAAATAAAAGACAAGTTTGCGGCTTCAGTCTTTTGTCCGGATTTGTCACTTCCGCCGTCGCGACGGCCTTCTCCCAAGGTAGACCAATGGGAAAAGTTTTAATTGCCATCGTATTCAAACCGAAACGTACTTGAGACGACAGTTCAAAACTCTTTTAATTAGATGCAGGAATTTTCGCTTAACTCACTGACAAAATCAAATCTAATCAACAAATAAATTGCGCATGACGTTGACAATTATGTGAGCAGCGAAACGTTTAGTTTCAGCTTTTTATCTAAAAGTTCTCATTTTTCTCGCTAGAAAAATGTCACGTTCTGAGCATAGGCACATAGATCGTACGCGATATGAGTAATGTTTATGCTCAGCCTGAATCAAATATGTCAAGGTTCGTACGCACTAATTTAATTTGTTTGGCATTCGGCAGCTGGCGATATACCAACCTGTCGGGAGGGCGACATCAACATCAGCGAGTGCATCAAGCAGGGCCTTCAGCAGATAACGCCACGCATGAGGTACGGCATCAGCGAACTGAACATCCCGCCCCTCGATCCCTTCGAGATGGGCAAGAGCTCCTACAGCTACAACTCGGGACTCCTGCAGGGTCGCATCTCCATGAAGAACGTGGTCGTCCACGGCCTCAGCGAGGGCATCGTCGACAAGGTCAACTTCCGGCTGAAGGACGGTCGCGTGCGCATGGAGATCCTCTCGCATGTCCCGCAAATGTTCGTCGAGGGCTCCTACAAGGCGGACATCAAGCTCAACGACCTCAAACTGAACCCTAAGGGAACCTTCAATATTACCATGAGTAAGTATCACAGAACAACCCAGATCCTCAACACTTTTGCGGTATGAAACCTTTATGTAACACTAAAACATTTTTATTTAATTCACTTTATGTCAAAACGTTTTTAAACATAATATCTTATTGTCTACAAATATTGTATAAGTATAATTATAATCGCACTAAAACAAAGGTTAACACAATTTAACTCTAAATAGTTAGTTATACCTTATTATTTGCATTTAGTTTAAACAAAAAAAAGTTTTTAAATACTTAAATAATTAGAAAGAATGGTAACTATAATTAAGGAAAAATAAAAAAAGGGACAACTTGATTGACAATGCAAGATCATCTCTTAGGAAATATAAGAACTTAAAATTGTTTTATAGAATAACAAAATATTTCTTCTTATTATTTATATCACTGACCCAATTATTATTATTTATTTATTATTTCCAGCTGATGTCGCTATGAGGGCGAGACCCATTGGCGAGCTCTATGAGCGTGATGGTCACACGTACTTGCGTCTGACCAAACTGGAGACTGAGCCCAAGGTGGGTGACCTGAAATTCTACGCCAACGGACTAGTTCCCGATCCGGTGCTTAGTAAGTGTCAAGCCAATCACCCGTAATTATTGTTCTTACTAATATATATTTATTCTCGTTTAGACGACGTCATCTTGGACTTTATCAATCAGTACTGGCGCCAACTTTATCAGGCCATGCTGCCCGAAACACTGGCCGCTTGGCAGCCCTTGATCTTGAAGTCCACGAATGACTTCTTCGCTGCTTTACCATTCGACATGCTTGTCACCAAGAATTGACATCCCCGACTTTTAATCTGTTATATTATTTATAACCTCCGGTTCCATCTGTTTTACTCAAGGTGTTAACATAGTTTGTACCGAAATAAAGATGAAATTACTTAAATATTTGAACTTCCGTTTAAATGTATTGATTGTTAAGAAACGATCTAGTTCTCCCGTTAAGATTTATGGGACCAATTTAGAGAAATCATTTAGTAATTATCATATAAGCAATAACTCTGTCGAGAAATTGTTTAAAATAAAAAAGAAGCAGTGGTTGTATAACTCCTCAATGTGCATTCAATTGTACTTACTGAAAAGGGTAATCTCAAACGAACAGAAAGCAACTGAAAGCTTCCTCTATATAACAGAGCTTATTTAAGTTTCTGGTTTAAATTTGCTGTAAGGTTCACAGTTTAACTAATCAGGGGCATAGACAGGGGGAGTTTTGGGTGTTAGTCCCACGCTCTCGGTTTAAATCCTATGCAATATTGGGTTATCAAAAGTATGCTACACAAAATTTGTACTGAAAACTCCCCAGCCCCCCTTAACTAAATCCTGGCTACGTCACTGTAACTATCTATACCTATTAGTATGACTCACTCGATGGAGAATTATCTTTAGGCTCGATTTGGCAGCCCTTCGACGTCGGCATTGTGCTATTCACCGAATCGCCAAAATAAGAAGCCCATTATTAGTATACGTACTGGGTAATTAGTAAAAGAATTTATGGCAAATCATCGTTGCCATTTACTATTATACCTTCAATATATTTTTCCATTTAATAATACGACATTATAAATCAGGCAGACGGAGCCGGTTTCGCGTTCAGTCAAAGTCTAGCTGTTTGCCGGCTAATGTTTTACTGATTTACAAGTAAAATGTACTTAACTAGTCTCTGACTTGCAATGTGCAGCGGTGTGCTAATTTTGAGAATAAAATAGCCCGACTTGGAGTCTGGGAGCTTCAGTTGTTGTTTAACGTTCTAGCAGCAGGTTGAAAATCGAGTTCGATCGTCAGAATAAAGGATATAGTTCGGTAGTTTAGTGTAGAACACACGAAATGCATTACATTATTGGATTGCTGTGCCTCCTGGCGCTTGGAGTCAGTTCAGCCCCAACGGATAATAATTACTTTGCAGGTATAAATATTATAAATTGTTCCTGTTTGTTTTCCCCTAATATTTCTCATTGAAGATTTGCCAAAATGCTCGACGGACGAGGATCAGCTGGGGGAGTGCGTCAAGGAGATATTCAATACGCTGACGCCCCGCCTCAAGGACGGCAATCCCGAGCTGAGGATCGAACCCTACGAACCTTTGCACCTCAACCGAACTAGCTTCCAGTACACTAGTGGCACGGTCAACGGTCGCATAACCGTTCGCAATGCCAAGATCTACGGATTCGCCTCCAATCGGGCCAAAGAAGTGTCCGTCAAACTCAACGGCGACAAGGTGAAACTGCGCCTCGTCACCAAAATGCCCAAAATGAACATTGTGGGTAGTTATAAGGCCGACATGCAGGTGAATCAACTGCAATTGAAGCCCAAGGGGGATTTTAATGTAACGCTACGTGAGTACATTGATTTGGTGATTGGATTACTTACCATTCCTCGTTTGCAGTGGATGTGGAGGCCACAACGGTCACCGATGGTGAAATCTACGAGAAGGATGGTCACCGGTATTTCCGCCTGAAGAATCTCGATTCGAAGCCAAAGATTAGAGATTTGGTCATCAAGGCCAACGGAATATTCGCAGATCCCGAACTGGGTGAGTTTTTACAATCTCAAATTGTAAACATCATATAAAGTAAGAAAGCAATTCAACTTGTTAGCATTATTAATATGGCAATATTTTATTTTATATTATTTTTGAAGTTTTTCTTTTTTGATAACATTAATATTACATTCACGAAAAAATCTTTGTTTTATCAGTTTTCTCTTTTATGATTGAACGTCTTTAATAAATGTTTTCTTTGTAAGCAATTTAAGGTATTGTAAGCAATAGCATTCAAAATAATCGTATATTTTTTAATAGAACCCCTAACTTGTTTTGCATTTTATAAAGGACACGAGTTTTAATAAATTTTATAATTGATCACCGACTTAAGAATTAAAAAAACATTTGAAAAAATTTCCTAGATAAACTGTGCAACAGATTAAAATGACATTATATTAAAAAAAATTATACCTAAGGCAAACAAGTTGTGATATTACGTATATACAATGTTTTCAGTTGATCGACCCACCATTCAAAGGTCATGATTGTTTTCCATTACAGATAGTATAGCTCTGAATGTGGCTAATCAGTATTGGCGCGATATCTACGGAATAATGCTGCCCGAGACCCGACAGTTTTGGCAACCCCTTATGTTGCGAATGTTCAACGAGGCTTTGGAACTGGTTCCCATCGACCAGTTTCTCAAGGAGTAGCTCAATTAGCCGCTGAATTCAACTTGTGATGATTGTTTAATAGAAAATAAATTGTTCCATTAACTGCTATTAAATGATAATGTTTGTTTAAATAAATAAGCATTTATTCTAGGCGCCATTTGGAATGCCCTCTTAATGTGAGGCATGCAATTAAATTCAAGTTATATTGAATTTTTCATGCCCTAGTTAAGCGCAAAGGTATGTAACACACTTTTTTGTTTGGTAAAGGTAAAAAACTATGACCACTGGGTGGTGACCTAATGATAATAGCGTTAATAGGTTAAGTGCGCACCCGACATTTGACCTTGACGTGGATTGTGGAAGCGCAATTACGGTGAAATTGAGCAAGACTCAAGCGACTATCTCTGAACTTGAATTGTGTGGGAAATTTATTATTCAGTTGGGCCGAAATCCCGGCGGTACTGCAATACCGGGCCAACCCGCGACAGAGGTGGAGCAAGCTCCTAGCACTACGTCTGATTCCAAAAATCAGTTTAACATTTGTTGTCCTCCAATGGAGGAACTATCAGATGTTAAGCTGATAAGAACAGATACTACACTTTGATCTTAGCCATAAGGCCGAGAAGCGATAACTTGAAACGGAAAATTGACTGGGTCTCTATGAGGAAAATACTAGAACCAGTTCGGAATTATAAATGTGAAAGTGTGAAAGTATTATAGTTTCTATAGCATATTTTAAGGGTTGGTGATCTGTATTTCAGGTAGTCAGTTTCCAGGTAGCCTCTTCAAACGACCCCTAAAACCAGATATACTTTAGGGATGGTAAAAGTAAAAGAAAGAGTTTTATGATTCCCAACAAGTTCTAGCATGTTTTGAGTGGTAAGGCATATTATTTTCTATGCCAAATCACTCTGGTTTCACTTCAATTGTCGAATAAATCTTTCGCCTTTTACTAAAGATTTCCGTGGAGTGGGACACTCTAATGAGTCTAAAATAATTTTTTGTAGTGCCTGGCGACTTCGGTGGCCGGGCCATAAGAAATACATTTTAAACGTAATATTTATTTCTATAAAAATGTTTAGTCACTATTGGGCTATCAAAACAGTGATGAAATTGAAATTGTATTAAGTTTGAACCGTAGACGGCGCTAAATGTGCCATAAATCAGCTTATTATATTGCAGTCAATTATATATTCTTGATGTCTATGGTGACTGGACTGTTTCGTGAGGCGCATGCAAAATAGTAGATATGTAGTTGATATAATATATATAAAGAAAAAAATAAACACGCGACTGTCGTCTGTCCAAAGACATGCCCATCATATTAAGTATACATATATATTTGATACAGAGTTTGAGATTAGAACGCTTCCGTAGCAAAGTTCAGTTTTGCAGAGTTCTAATGTATTAATTGCTTGCACCAAAGCCTTGTAATTGCTCGGCTAAAATTTCGAAGATGTCACGTACCAGACTACCTTGAACATTGATTTGTTCGCCCACAAAGTCACAGGTTCATGAATAATTTTATGTGGCATAAAGAGCGTCAAAGATTTATAACTGACCCACATTTTACATGAACACCCCGGAGGGCCTCACTGCCACAGTGCGTCTCAAACTGAGTACGTGCCTTGCACTTTGACTGAAAACAGGGATTGTGGAAATGTGGACACTGTGGAATGGGAAAATGCCATGTCAGTTTCCTCATTGTTGGCGGAATGTGACAGATTTGTGGGAACAACCTTCCGACGGATGCATATATATTATTTGGTTAGGAATTTCCATTTAGTAAATTAAAAAAGAAGGAACACAATTTGAACAAATTACAAGAAAAAAACAATAGGTAAATTGAATTTGATATATCAAATAAATGTATTTACTAAATTGTGGACTCAACATAATAATACGTTTATCAATATATTAAATTAAATTATTTCGTAGGTACATAATGTAAATATTTGAATATTTTTTGGTATTGTCTTCTCAATGCTATCATAGGTTGAATTTAATTTAATTTTAAGAACTACTCTTAGTCTTTCAATTATTACTCTTAAATTGGTTACACTTTCGTTTAAACCTTAAATATTTTAAAAGAAAAGGGATATGTTAAAGAAAGAAAAAATACTTCTTTCTATAATAATAATAATAACAAGGAAAATATCTATAATAACAATAAATAATTATTTAAAACTATATTATTATTAAATCCCATCTGCTGGATCTTGTGGCTCTCAAACTGCAGGTTCTCCTCAATAAGCTTTTTTTTTGGCGAATTGAGCTTTTGAGTTCGGCTTTGGCTTCGTGATGTGACGGCCTAAAGCCTTCGAAACGACCGATTTCATTGGGGTCTTTTTTAGCTATATGTTGTTGCTGTTTGCTTTCGGCTTCGGCAGCCGCATGGAAAAACTTTTGAACGAGCTCAAAAATCGGGCAGCTTGAAAACTATAAATAAACGTGAGTTTTATGCAGCGCTCATTTCAAGATTTGCAAGCAACGCGCCGTCAACTCAGTCAACTAAATTCGTTTGCCCCTTTTTTGCGGATAAGTTTGGCAATTAGCTGGCTGAGATTGTGTGCATCTCTGTGTCCGTGTGTGCAGCAATTGCAGCAACAATTGCAGTTAACCGAGAAAACCGAAAAGCCAACCAAAAAACCAAAAAAAAAAGCAACTGTAAAAAGCGCTCGTGAAGAAATAAAAGTGAAGCCGGTTTGCGAAAATTACGCAAATAAAAAAGGAAAAACGGAGACAACCGAAATTACCGTCTGGACTGCATTCGTGTGTTTAAAATCAAGTCACACGAAAATAGTCAAAATAGAAAGAGTCCAGTAATCAATTGAAACGAGTTTGCAGCGGCAAAGGAAATCCAAAAGCCCCAAAATGCAATTGCTTTGCATCTCGCTCACCGTTTTGGCCGCCTTGGCACTCGGAAGTGGAAGCTACGCGGCCACGCTGCCAACCTCCGCACCCAGTGTTTTCAGCAGCGATCCCAATCCGAACTCAAATCCAAATTCCAATCCGGGCGAGGAGTTCGCGGCGGGATCTCCGAGCTTTTCCGACAGCGATTTGGCTTTGCCCGCAGGGTCAATCGATTTCGGTGATGCAGGTAAACTTAAACTGGCTTTTGCACCCAAGACAAGAACTTGAACCAAACTCAAACCAAATGTCACTCCCAGCACACGCCCTCAAAAGTATATACATTACATTAATTAAATCAGCTTAGGTCAAACAGTTCGTTGTCTAAGTCTTTTGTTTGTTTGGGTGCCTGGGTGCAGCAGAATGTAAGGGAAAACTGTGCGTCGCTTGGCATTCAAGCTAAAATGGTTGATTAATTTTATTTGTATTAACATTAACATTAACATTTTTAATATTTTTATTTTGTTGTCTTAATATTTTAAATATTTTTTTTGTTGCCTTATTGCTTCAAATTTTTTTTATTTAACAAAATAAAAACTAAGTTTCAACCAAACCAAATATAACATTTCCTAAAGTCATAAATGATTAATTTACGAGCAGATGAAAAATCAATAAAACTAATTTTATAAACATTGACTTTAGGAATACAATGTAAAGCTTATGGATCTACTTATACTAGAATTACATTTGCAGTTCTCAGTAAAAACAGGAAAAGGCGGTTTTCTAATCTATAACTTTGTTTGTTATTTATAATTTTTTTTGAAGCTTTACCCATTGAGTAAATTTTTACTCTTTTTGGCTACAATCCAACTTCCTGTTTTCGACTGTAGTACACATCAAAAGTTCTTCATTTGCTCTGTACGCTTCACCGACAATTTGATTTCTTATTTTAAATTCAGCACAGACCTTGCCCGGTGTGCCGTCCATGCCAATCGGTTCAGATTACTCATTGTAAGCTTCTTGTGCATACACTTAACACAACTTTTATAGGCCTGTAACCTTCAAAAAACGAACGAAATTGGGAAAAATACTGAGAAACTGCAGTCGTAAAAGAGTAGTTTTTAATGAGATTTGCTAAGAGCCAAGTCCAGAAATTGCAATAGAAATTAGCAAGTGTATTTGCAGTAAAATCTTTTTATTTATCTCGCTTTTTAACGCTTTTGAAATGGCAAGTGGAATATGTAAAATAAAGCGACAAGCAAGTCATCGCCTGTGCCACTTGTACTTGACATACTTACAAATGTTTTTTTCACTTTTCGGTAAAAGTTATCAAGCTGAGCTGAGTTGAGACGCAAATCTCTGGGGTAAATAGAAATTGTGACGCAAGTCCGGGGCCGAGTTATAAATGCAGAATAAACACGAGATAATGCAGGCTCGAAAAATCACTGTGAAATATTGCCAATTACATTAATTTAATCAACCACGAGGTGTTTGCCAGTGTGTGTGCGTTTGTGTTGTTTGCTCTGTTGCGAAAAGAGTTCAGCGTCAACAAAAGCAACAACGAGGCTTAAATCCGATCCGAAACCGGCTGCTGTCGCTATATAGCGATACCAAGACTATCAAGAGACCACCGAGAGCTGACATAAAGCGAAAAGCTGACTGAAAAACTGACCTACATCAATGCGTAAGCGGCGCTGCTGGGCTTGTGCCAAAATTGAAAGCTGCAATTGTAACTTGTCTCTAATTGCGCAAAGAAAACCGTCAACACAGCAGCGAGTAGGTACTAAAAAATAAATCATGGCGAGCACAAATTTATTGACATTTGCTTGGGCAAACAAAGGACTTAGGCAACGAACTTGGCTGCCGCCCAACCCTTTTCTGTCACCTCTTAGCTTTGACATTTCGACTGCTGAATATTATTATTATTATGAAGCACATAATAACAACATGCGGTTGTTTGGCTCACCTTTGACATTGAACTTGTCGGCTGAAACAAAAGGGAAAATGTAAAAAAGTAAAACAAAACAGTGGGAAACAAATTTCGGGGCACTCAAGCCAAATGACTTAATAGGGCTGTTCACGTGCGTAATTCGGCTTTAAATTAACCAAAGTTTGTCTCATTCTTCAAATGCCTAATTGCAAGCTTTAAATTCATTTTCATATCTTTTAAATTCGGAATTGCCTTGCCAAGGAACATTAAAATAATTGCTTTCCGCTTGTCATTAGAATGAGAAGACAAAAACAATTAGTGGCGTGACTAAATATCATTTCAAGCTGAATTTAAATTTAACAACAGGCTTTTTGTGAGATTTGTTTTTACTAGCTGAAAGATAATAAAAAGATTAAGCGAAACAAGTTATAACTATGATTGCAATTGATTACATTTCTGAAAGAAAATATAATTTTACACAGACAGTTTTGTTTGTTCTACTAGTTTCTCTTATTTTATTACTATTTTTTTAGAAAAAATTTAAGTTATTAATTTCTTTGAGGTAATCATCATAATTATAATAATTACTATTATTGTAAATAATTTAAAAAACATTTCCTTGATCATTTCCAAGACCTCGTCACCCAGTGCCACCCTGACATAAACCCCATTTGGCTATGACAGAAGACACGTGGCGACTGGGACACTTTGTCATGCCTGGTTGGGTGGCACAGTTGGTGAAAAATGAAATAAATATAATAGTTATAAGCCCCCCTTGGTCAGGGCGCTAGTCTATGCCATGCCTCGACGAACTTAACAACCGAGGCTAAGGCTAACCATGACTTAACCGGCTTGTGAACTAATCCCACATCACTTTCGCCTTTCAGTTGCTCCACCGCCGCCGGCCATCGTGTCCAGTGGCTCGAACGAGGTGACACCCTGTAGTCTGAGTTCGGCGGATCTCAACGAATGCATACGCGGCTTGATTCAGACCTTCGCGCCCAAGCTGAGGTACCAGGGAGTGCCGCAGTTCAACATGGACTCCATTGACCCGTACTTCTACAAGAGGGGCATCTTCCGGTACACAAACGACGGCATCCAGGGAGGACTGCTGATCAAGAACATGGAGATCTATGGCATCAGTCAGCTGCAGGTGAACAGTGTGGCTGCTAATTTCACGGACAGCGGGTTTATAATCAAATTGGGCGTTGAACTGCCGCAACTGAAGGCCGGAGGACATTTCAAGGCGGACGTGAAGTTCGGAGGACTGCGTCTGGTGCCCAAGGGACCCTTCAACATCACCATAGGTGAGTGTGCGGGGTTAATGTGAGTGGACTGAGTGGCTACTGATACTTTCGCTTTTCCCCCAGACAACATCAAGGCCACCATTCTGACCGATGGCCACATCGAACAGCTGCCCAGTGGTCAGCAGCGTCTCAGCTTACATCGCCTGAATGCCAATGTCAATATCGGCGATGCCAAGGTGGTGGCCAATGGCATCTTCTCCGATCGCAATCTGAGTAAGTCAATCACTTTCCCTTCTTAATTCCCAATTCTGATTGATTTTATTCCCCTGTAGATGCCATGATCCTGAATCTGGTCAATGAGAATCTGCCCGAAATCACCCGAGTCGGAATTCCCGCCACCCGCGAACAATGGGCTCCCATTCTGATTGCCCACATCAACGAGTTCTTCGCCAAGGTTCCCATCGAGAAATTCCTGGTTCAATGAGGCACGAAACCTATGCTCAAGGACTACTTAGCCTGTAGTTAGTTTTAGCCTAATTTCTACAATTACAATCTTAACTTAAGCGCTGTTTCCAAATAATTTTCTACGCACAAACGATTTGGCAATCATTTGGAATTATTTTAAACATAACCAATTTGTATTTATTTATGTCATCCATTCTGAACAAAAAGAGAAGCTATGTGAAAATTTCAAAATAAATGCTCTTTTCAAAAATATTTTTGGGGGTTTTATTTATTTTTTTATAATTTATTCTTCCCACAAAAAGCTTTTGAAGGTTTTTTTTTCTGATAAGTCCCAAAAGTATGCTTTCTTTCAGATGATCGCACACTTCGTACTTAAATGTAAAACAGTTAAAACTCATGTATTTTACAAGTCGATCTCGGATTATTTTGGTCAAGGATAATTTTGTTTATTTCTAGTATAAGTAAAGGAAAGCTTAATATAGGACAATATTCTAAAATTCGTAGCACTTTCTATTGAGTATAACCAATAAATGAAAAATGCGTTCATTTAAAATAATGTTATGGAAAATAACTTTATTATTTGTAATAATTTAAATATTAGTGCACCCTTGCAATGTGCATAAACACATGAATACTAAAATTTAAAATAAGGTAAAATTGATGGAAACGTGAATTAAATAAAAGAAAATCAGCTAATTGTCCTATAAATAAATATTTCAACGGTTCGAGCATTCAAGTGGTTCATTGAACATCGAGTGGGTGAAATTCCCTTGTCAGAACATTCAATTGACTCTCCAGTTGAATGAGCTCGAAGATGCTGAGAACTGCAAACTCGATCGATACCAATCCCGCGTGAAGCGCTTTTCGAAAACAATACTCAACACTCCCACTTGTCGATCAATCAAAGGGGCGATTGTGGCCCCAGGCTCCCAATTACAGACAATTAGTTGGCAAAATATTGAAATAAACTGATCCCGCAAAGGTCCAGGCCGTGACACTTAATGTTCCATCGATCAATATGTGGGACTGGGGTCGAGTGCTTTTATTGAAATGATCTGGCCGATTCTCAGGAAACAATTGACTTAATTTGTGATATTTCTAACACCCAAGGCGCCGCCTGATCTCAGCGTTGATAATGCGATTAAAACAGAGACCTGATTAATGTAGGCTTATTTGAATCCTGAGTCAAGAGGTGCGCTTCTTGCAGGCAGTTCAACGTTCGCTAAAAGTCGTAAATTTTGCATATTATTTAGTAAAAACACTTACATCAGCCGACGACGAAATCAAACGGGTCTACTTAAACTAGCCGAGTGGAAAATGAAGAGCCATACGCAATGTGCACCAAGGAATTTAAATGGAAATTCAATCTAGCCTTGCAGTGAAAAAATAAAAGAGTTTCTTGGGAGGTTTTGGATAGATAGTACTGAGAATTAAAAGATTTAGATTTAAGCAATTTCAAATAAATTTTTTTTGTTCAGAAAATAGATAATATTTAAATGCTGCTTTATAGCCAATGAGTTATTTTATTTTGTTACATTAAGGGCCGTTTTCTCGTTTGCATGTTAAATTTAAAGTAAGAGATAAATCCTTGAAAACGTATGAGAATTTAGAGTTTATATGGTACCTTAAATTTAACATGTGAAGGAGAAAACGGCTTTAAGAAGTTTACATTTTAATAGTTAGCCTCAAGCCAAGAGTATTTTAATAAATGTTTTTTTCAATGAAATATTTTAAAGAAAATTATATAAGTATAAGGAAAAAAATGTATTCAATACAATTAAGTATTATATATTTTATCCTTCATTTTTATTCAAAGGTATAATTTTCCCTGAGTGCATTATAATGGCCAACTGAGCCAGAGTGAGAAGATGCAACCGCAGCTGGATTTTTCTTTTATTAGTAGGCAGTCGCACAACTTCCCGGCGGCTGCTGTGAGTAGTGAGTAGCCCGCCCTGTCTTCAGTCTACATTGGTGCGTGTTCCGGATCGGATTCAGTTTTGGGATCGGGATCGGCATCGGGTTGGAAGCATGGTTGGGAACGGAGGCGTTACAGCAACTAGTTTAGTTTGGCGGCCAGCGTCGCGTGTGCATTAAAAGGCGGCCCAATAAGTTGGCCAAAAGTGTTCCAGCGAAAGAAACGCGTTCATAATTGACATTTCGGCTGCTCCGGCCGAACATTCAGCATTTCTGTTTCTGTCGGCGTCGCAGTCGTCGTCGTTTGGCAAACGGAGCTGTTAACCAAACCCCAGAACCTCTGTTGGCTCAGAAGCGATCGGACCTCACAGCTAAGAAGACGGTCCTCGTCGTCTAACGCACGTTATAATAAATCGAGAATCGAGTATCGAATATTGAGTATCGAGTACCGAGTACCCAGTTCCCAGTACTGAGATCCAGAGCAAGTCCAAGTCCAAGTCCAAGTCCGAGAACTTCGTTTTCGCGATCGTAGTCGTGGTCAGGTGAATGCCATCGGGGCAACGTGCCTGGCATTCCAAGAGATATATATTCTGAGTGGCGGTTCTTTATACTATATAGCAGCCAATTTATATATGGTCTGCCCCTACGTTCAAAAACGAAAACAAATTGGGAAGATATAACCGCAGCGAAAGCAAAAAATATCAAAATGTTTGCAATTTTGCCAGTTTTATTACTTTGTGTGCATTTGCTGCATTTTAAAACTGTCTCGGGAGCAGATCTTCGATCCGTTTCGGGAGGGGCAGGAGCTCCACCTCCAGTTCTAGCTCCTGTGTGGCAAAATGGTGAAATGAATGCGGCGCCCGAGGCAGGATTGTTAAAAGCCAATGCCACCGCCGAGGAAAACTACGGCGGAGCGGTGGTGGGTAAGTTAAATGATTGGATTCGGATATTAAAAAAAACCTCGACCACTGGACAAAAAAATTATTTTGGTTTTAAATATTATCGAAAGACTTAGGGCACAAACTTTTAATTCGATTAATACTAAAAATTACTGAAATAATTAAAAACTGTAAAGGTGTAGTAAAAGTCTAAATCAAATTATATTTTAAGTACGATTATATATTTTCTAAAAATTGTATTAGGTTCCAACAATTCGATTTTAGCTTAAAAATTGTTGTAAAAATTGTTTCTTATTACATTTTTTTTAAACTTTACTTAAAATATAAATTCACCAAAATGTCTTAAACTTTTGTATCATTTTGTAAAAACGCGTATCAATAGATCTTCTTCAATTTACGTCACTAATATAAATTTAAGTTCAACGACTTCGAAATAACATTTTTCTGATTCGACAGTAGAATTTATGCATGGCACGCACCAAGCATTACTTGTTTGACCTTCAAAAATCTATAAATCGTTTAGAGCTAGGAGGGAAAATGCGAAATTGTGTTCTACGAGTGAGTGGTATCAACATTGTTTACCTTACAGCCTCGATGGCTTGTCGCTATGCACGGCCCTTTAGAAAACTTTCTAGTGCAAAAAAAAAGAATTGAAAACCGAGAACTCATGTAGGCGTGAACTTTTGGATCAACTTCATCGCTTGTCGATCGTGTTCTGTCGCCTGTCAATGTCCCCGCCAATCTATTCTCTCTTATTTACGGCCAACAATTGGACAATTAGACAGCACTTTTGATGGAGGGGCGTGATCTGTGGTGATGTCTTTTCGGGGCGACGACATGAGCCTATTAATTTGGGATGCCTCGCAGATTGGGCCATAAACGTATAGCAGATATATGTTCGACAATAAGCCGACACCTTTCTCGGATTTAACAAGCCATATTCATTAAAAATTAATTTTTATTTGCACTTTGCTCGATCAGAATCGCGATATATATTGTTTATATGACCGTTGGTAATATAAAATTTAAGAGCCACCATAAAGTAGACCTCCAAGTCGAGTTCTCGCGATCTCTGGGATCCTGCGTTGAAATTCAGGTTTTCAGTAGCAGACAAGCTGTAACGGTCTTGCAGACCTTGAACTTGTAACTTGCCCCTGATTCTTAATAAACGTTTTGCAAGTCTTCAGTATCAAGTGTTTATGTTTAGCAGAGAAAACAGGTTGCATCTTGAGTTGGGCGTATTTCGAGGACCATTCAAGTTATAAGAACTTCCAAGAAAAAATATATTATTTTTATTTACACAAAAAATGCTCATATCAAAAATTACAAAACATTTTAGTTCTCCAACTTAGATATATTTTTTTTGTTTTCACGATTTACATTCTTAACTTCTTAAGTCTTATTAAGTGTGTCGAATTCCAAGCAGGATCTTCAATCAATCAAAGTGAATTTGTTGCGCTGATTTTTGGCTGACAGCTTGTCATAACAATTTAAAAGGAATCAATTTAATGACCCAGAAGCAATAAACATAAAAACACCAATTCAAGCACATTATTTGGGGCAAATGAGTAATATACCGATGACTTTCTTCGGGGATCCACACAAACATAAGATTCAGTTAACAATTCCTGATGAGTGAGTCAACCGAACGGATTAACATTTTTCGGCGAGTGTAGGAGTTACTTTGTAAAATGAAAATTTTCACAACAAATTATGCATATTTATTACCGATTCGAGGCACGCCCTGAACGTATTCTTCATTAAGAGTTGTGACACTCGAAGCAAAAGCCACGTGCAGATTTGTGAGACTTCCCTGCTCCAATCTTCCGCTGACAAATCGCTTTTATGCTCGATTTAGAATCAATAAAACTTACACCTCTCATCGGAGGCATTAAAGTTTAGAGCTGTCAAGAAGATCGTTAAAATTAATCGGCACAAAGGCAAATGGCTCGTTAAGAACAAAACCCCAAAGATAAACTGCCCAAATCGCTTATTTAGTCAAATTTTATGCTCTATCGAGCCATTCGAACTATATATGTGGGCCAAAACATGCGTAATAAATTAGAAATATGGCAAAATCATGCTAAATAGCAACAACAATTGTCAGCAAAGAAAAGAGAGAAAAAACCAAATAAAGCCGGCGACCTAAACAAAGGCCTAGACCAATTTTAAGAAGCTGCCAATGGACATGACAAATATATGACAATTGACAGTAGAAAGTTGCCGCAGTGGGGGGCACGGCAAGTTCAGCATCTCGGAAATCTCTGAAATGGCACAGCAATTGTCATTCCGCGTGGAAAGAGCTTAAGTTTATTGTCAATATTCTGAGCAGCGAAATATGTCAAAATATTGAGTAATCACTCTCGACTTTGTGGAGAGGAGAAGCGTGGACCCGAAACTCAAAACGTGAACGAATGTTAAGCAAATATTGGCTTGGTCTTTTCTCCACTTGCTTTTTTTCTTCTCATTTATTTCTTTTTTGGGTGCTTTGTCAATAGCGCAACAGATTGGCCAAAAAAAAAAATGGGCTGTAAAGTACCATAGTTTTTGGCTAGACAATTGCGTATGTAGCTCAAATCTTTCCGGGGGTTCAACGAACCCTGATCTCGAGTGCCTTTAAAAAGGTTCCCCAAGTGCCATCCATATTTTCAAGGCATGTAGTCATTATTGTACTTTATATTATAATTTGATCAAAATTGCTATTATATTAAAGCAGTCCATACATAAATTTTAGAACAATATCGTCACTGAAAAACAATGATATAATTATCTTAACGAAACTTAAGCTCGGATGCAAAGATAACTTTTTTAAAATGATTAAATGTTGTATAATAAAATAAAATCAATATTTCATAAGACCTTATCTTCTTTAAAATTAAATTTTATAATTTTTTTTAAATCTACAGATTCCTCATCAGCAAATCTGAATCGCCAGCGACGTCAGTTTTTCTTCGATCCGAGTATTTTGCTGTGGCAGGGAGGACTTGGTGGCGCTGGTGGAGTATCTGGATTACCTGGTGGCTGGGGCGGTCCCGGCGAGGGATCCAAGTGCCTTACATCTCGCGGCGAACGGGGCGTATGCGTCCGCATCGATGGATGTCGCCAGTATTACCGGGTGGCCCGTCAAATATCCATCTTCACCCTGCGCCAGTGGCCGCAGACCAATGGTCTTGGCCTAAATGGCAACATGTGCAACTTCTTCGATCTGCTGGGCAGGGTTAACAATGGAATCTGCTGCACAGACATCGATGCCAATACATTTGGGGTGTTTCCACTGCCCACGACCACGACCACGACTACGGAGAAGCCTTCGATGGCAGCTGACGAGGAGGAGGACAGGGTGGATGTGATGCCCGAGGGTGAAGTGGATGGTGAACAGCCCCGACCCGAGGATCCCATTGATAATGGGAACAGTGTTGAGGATATGCCGGATTTCCAGGATGTCAACACAATTGAGGGAAATGCTCCTAATTCCGAACCCCAGCCCGCAGAGGAACCGGTGGAGCAGCCTATTCCCACGCAGCCACCCACCACAATCTATCCCTACCAATGGCCATTTGGTACCTTTGGCGGTGGAGTGGCCCAGTGGCCACCAGCTCTGCCCACTCATCCACCCACAACTGGGGGCTGGCCACCACCGCTGCCCACCCATCCGCCGAACCATCATTATCCCACGCATCCCACCACCGGCGGAGTTCCGAGCACCAAGCGCACCACTCCGCGACCTTTTGGACCCACCAGACCACCCACCACCACCAGGCGACCCAGCTATCCCAGTTATCCCACCACGGCTGTGACAACCACGACCACGACGCGCCGACCTGCGAGTGGCTCCAGTCCCGAGGGACTCCCGCTGCAGTGCGGCAACAAGAATCCGGTGACTCCCGACCAGGAGCGGATTGTCGGGGGCATCAATGCCAGTCCGCACGAGTTCCCCTGGATAGCGGTGCTCTTCAAGTCGGGCAAGCAGTTCTGCGGCGGCAGTCTCATCACCAACAGCCACATCCTGACCGCAGCTCATTGTGTGGCGAGGTAAAAACAAAAGAATATCAATTATTAAAAATGTTTATTAAATATTTAATCATTTTAGAATGACCTCGTGGGACGTGGCGGCCCTGACAGCCCATTTGGGTGACTACAACATCGGCACGGACTTTGAGGTGCAGCATGTGTCGCGCAGGATCAAGCGGCTGGTGCGGCACAAAGGATTCGAATTTAGCACCTTGGTAAGTGATTTTCAGTAAACCAGTCCCAGTATTAAATGGTTATGATTATTAACTAATTGCATTTAATTCTTTTTAATGTAAAGAAATTTTTAATAAATTAATTTAAAATATTAAAAAGAGTTAGACATCACATTTTTTTTGATTTTAAATCCAAAAGAGTTACATTTTTCGTAGACTTTAATCAGGTGTGTCCCTGAAAACTCTAACAACCGAAATTTTATTGAAATGGATTCAATTTTAGAATGAATAAATGAATAAATAAAACTGTTGAGGTACGTGGAATTTTTCATAACATTTCCATAATACTTTTTAATATGAAAACTTTCAAATACTTGTTTTACTAAAGACCAAAATGTAAAATAAATAAAATGCAGTTTTCGGCTTTAAATTAATAATATTAGAATAATTTCTATAGATTTTTTTAAACTTTTGTCCTTGGTAATTTTGAATATTTTAATAAAATAATTAAATTTTCTAGCACAACGATGTTGCCATACTCACGCTGAGTGAACCGGTGCCCTTCACCCGTGAGATCCAACCGATTTGCCTGCCCACCTCGCCCTCGCAGCAATCCCGCTCGTACAGTGGTCAAGTGGCCACGGTGGCCGGATGGGGAAGTCTGCGGGAGAACGGACCTCAGCCCTCGATCCTGCAGAAGGTGGACATTCCGATCTGGGCGAATGCCGAGTGTGCCAGGAAATACGGACGAGCTGCGCCCGGCGGCATCATTGAATCGATGATCTGTGCTGGCCAGGCGGCCAAGGATTCCTGCAGTGTAAGTGGACTGTTTAAAACTAACTTGTCCTATCATAAGGATATTTCCTATCTTATTTCCAGGGCGACTCTGGTGGACCCATGATCATCAACGATGGCGGACGCTACACCCAGGTGGGAATCGTATCCTGGGGCATTGGCTGCGGCAAGGGCCAATATCCTGGTGTCTATACTCGTGTCACTTCGCTCCTGCCCTGGATTTACAAGAACATCAAATAAACATAGGATTCCGTTTAGTCTAAGACGTGATACGCTGCAATAAAATAAGAGCGAACGATTCAATAAAATGACAACATCAAAAGTATAGAAAAGTTTTTAGAAATGCCCAAAAGTATACCGCTTTTTTCTACCAGGTCCACCTTTTTTTGATAGGTTTGCAAAGTATATGAAATGGTAGAGGTAAAGTAATAGTGTTGTCAGATGGCTGTTAGTTAAGATAAAGTCCAACTACACTAAATATATATATTTTTTTAAATTAAATATCGCGGGTAAATAATAAAATCAGGGACCGTAAATAACAGTTATTTGTGATTTTTATTTTAAAAAGACTACTGTGATATTTGGTTTTAAACGTAAAAAATAACGTTCTTTTTACTCTTGTCCACAAAGTATATGCATTTTAACCAATCTGGAAATTAACTGTTATTTGTTCATGTCAATAAAGTGCATAAAAACCAGTTAAATTGTTGATTAAAACTTGTACAAATCTCAGTAGGCCTTTTAAAATAAAAATCACAAATAACTGTTATTTACGGTCCCTGAATAAAATATAATATTTGACATTAACAAAGTAAGCATTTCCCAAGTTGACGTAGCTCAAATTAATCCAGAACAAAAACCCTTCAAGCTACAATAAAATCCTTGCGAATCATGACTACACCGCGCGTATTCGTTATCGAAGATATGTTTAAGTTTAACAACATTGTGCTGGACCCGTTGGTAGAAGTATATTCCCTGCCATTCGTACTTCCAAAAATCTTTGAGCATCCCGAACTGGTTCTTGCGGAGGAATCTCCTGACGGCCATCTCGTGGGCTTTATTCTCGGTACTCGGATCCAGGACTCGAATGAACAGATTGGCGATGGAAAGGATCTGGTTGGGAGTCATGGACATATCTCTGCCCTGGCTGTGGCCCATGATTATCGAAAACTGGGCTTGGCCACTCGTCTGATGACTACTCTTAGGGATATGATGGACCGCCAGAGGGACTGGTATGTGGATTTGTTTGTGCGTCAGAAGAATAAGAACGCCATCAGGCTCTACGAGTCCTTGGGCTACGTAAAATATCGATGGATGCCCCAGTTTTATGCCAACGATCACGGTTATGATATGCGGCTGCCTTTGGCCCGCGATGTGGACAAGAAATCCCTGGAGGGAATCTTTATCAATAAGCTCTATAGCTTTGGCAATTTGCTTTACCATCTGCTCGTGATCTACTTGTTCGGACTCAGGGATATTATGATTGGTTGAAAATGCTTCGAATAGAGCTTTAAATATATTGTATAAAATCCCATATTTTATTCTCTCTGTTTGACAACGAATAATATAGACTAAAACGTTTATGAAACACCCAGAAAAAGTTCATTGCACTCGGCCAGCCAAATTGAACTAAAAGTTTGAGCAAATCGCTCAAAGTAAAAAATGAAAACTTGAAAATATATGTCAGAAGGCATATGGAAACAAGATTTGTTTATATGACAACATTGAACCAGAATTTTCAGATGCTGTGCGTTTCAAGTTGCGCAAAATGCCAAATTGTGAAAATCATTGCGCGTGTTTCAGACACATGTCCGAACCGGACCAGACTACACTTTATATTTAAATATATATTTTCTAATTTGTTTGCTTTGAAAAATGTAGCTAATAAAAAAGACAACAACGAAAGCCTTGACCATCTCGAAACGGAAATTTGCAATTGGATTTGTTTGGCAAACGAGACGAACATCAATGCGTTTGGGTGAAACTACTTATATGCAGTGTGTACATTAGGGTGGACCTTTTATTCAGTATTTAAGAGTTTAAACTTTTAAGTTTATGTTATGTCCTAAAATATTCCAAAATTGCATACAAATATATATTTTTTGTTAATAAAATAAGTTATTGTACTACGACAACACTGCGTATGCGTGATAATCGACCCTACGACTGAGGTCCGCCCCTATTCGATCCTATAGTTAGCCTTTGTGCGTCAACGGAAATTGATCTTTCGTTAAAAATTCACCTCAATTGATTTTCTTTAATTAGCTATGTAAGCCGAAAATAAAACTAAAATTTATACGAAAAACACATGTCCTGCTCATTGAACCTCCATGGGACGGGGTATGTACTTTCTCATCTCGTAGGCATTCTCCGGTTCCGGATCTGGATAGTAGTCCAGGTAGGTTTGGCGGTGAGCGTAGCCCATGGCAGTGTACAATTGATAGGCGGCTATATTGCTGGCTCGCATGAAGAGGTTTACGAAAGAAGCTCCCTTGTGGTCTGAGACCATGAAAAAGTACTCCATTAGGGCAGTGGCCAGTCCAAGGCGTCGATATTCCGGGGATACAGTCAATGCCGCCACATGTCCATGCGGTTCTTTGTTTTGCTTGGCCAGATACTGACCAAATATATATCCCATTCGACGGCCATCGTTCGGTCCTGGAGCCTCGGCAATCCTTGAGAGTCCTGGAAATTCCAAGAGGTGCTTGACAAAAAAGGTTAGGCTATACACCTCGGTGAGGCTATCAAATAGTAATGAATTAATTTTGAATAAATCATCGAAACGCATCTCCCGAAAGCTGGTCATTTTATACAACAATTTTGATAATAATCTCACTTAATTTTTAGACATTTCAAGGATTTGTCAAGTTATAGGCATGCTTTATTGGCTTTTTATTTGTTTTCGGTTCACTGCCAGGGTTATTGGTGCGGCTGTAGACCACACCCGATAAACATAACCAAACCATACAATTCACAATCTTTAGAGAATCGAAACTCATTTCTCGATCCTCTAATGAGGTTAATGTTCGAGGCACTCGTTGACTCAGCGCCCTGTGCGCTTTTCAAAGATCTATTTATACAATTTAATGGCGCATTTTGCACAAAAATAAATAAAAGTACAAACCGATATTTGTCTTTGGATGTATACTTTTATATGTAAGCACACATTATATTGGTAAAGAGGCAAATATCTATTTATAATCGAAAGCATCAGACAACTTTGCTGTTTTTGTCTTCTGCCTGGACAGGTGGTCCAGTCAAAAAGATGAAGAACGTGTAAAATGTAATGTGCTAGCGGGGAATATTAAGAGAAAAATCGTCCAAGCGGCTGAAGAAAAATGATTTGCTAATTTCCCAGCATCGGTCTTTTTCCTTTCTTTAGGGTACACATATACTACATTTACACATATCCACTGGATGTTTGTTTAGCGGTCTTTTTCTATTATTTATTTTTCAAGCATGTGTGATTTATCATGATTTATCATCATCGCATTTGCCCACAAGAAATGGCCAGAACGACCAAATGGAATCATTCACTGAGTGTTGGAAATCTTTTGTCTTTTTGAAGCGAATCTTTTATGGGGATCATAAATTTCTGTGGATGCATTTTCGTAGTTTATGTTTTGGTACTCAATAAATTTATTACAAGAACTGAGGCAAATCAAAAAGTTATAGACACAAAATTATAATTTGATGGCAACTTATTAACTATTATTTAATTTATGTATTTTTCGTTTTTACCTACAGAAACTTAAATAATGTAAATATTAATCAAATACCTAACAATAGCCAATTGAAATCTTTGAACCAGTCTAGTGTGAAATATCGGAGCACCAATAATTTATTTAATGTGCCGAGTGCATTGCGCATTAACCTGGCGATGATCGGCCCTGATTGTAAATACATTAGAACGGTTCTGCGGATCGGAAAAGAGGAAAACAATAAGTACAAACGTCCGCGGGCTTTCTCAACTTTTAGATTTCTTTTAAATAAACTCAAAATTCATAGAATTTTCCGAGCAGACGCACTTTACACATGCTCACAAGTACGCACACAAACGCATTGTGGCCACTACAGCCAAACGGATATAGACACGGACATGACCGATGGTCGAAAAGAATATGTACCGAATAAGAAGAAGAAGAGGGAGAATTTATTTCGAAATGTGAAATGTGCTTTTCGGCTTTTCGGCCAAGAAAATTTCGTGTGCGAATTCAGTGCGACTTGGGCTGCTAACTTGAACGCGTTGCAAACGAGAAAACCATCCGAAATAAAGAAATTTTCAACTAGAAACTAACACATAGATATATCTATACCATCTAGCTGGGCTGTCTATATATACGGATATATATAGATATAGATACGAGTATTTTCTCTGGCAAAAGTGAGCAATGCGTCGTGCCGCGATTTATAAATAGCAAATTACAAAATTCTCAAAAGAACATTGGTGAAAAAGGGTTTCGTAGTTTTCGACTAGTGCCAAACCCTTCTAAAATATTAGCAAGACTAATCTCTTTCCACCTCTGATGATTATCAAGATTCTGAACATATAATATATGTACTTGTGAAAAAAATAGAAAAACTATTTCCCAGTTGATCGGTTGTGTCCGTGCCGCAAATTATATAAGAACGCGTGATATTATTCGGTGCAAAATAATTATCGATTTAATATTCATAATTTCCTTTTAATTTTCCATAAATTTTTCAGTGTTTCTGTGTGCATAGGCGTCGTTTGCAAAAATCTTTTCGTAGAACTTGCGTGAGTTTGGCGAAAACCAACGCCTACGACAAAATCCAAAGATCGCGATCTCTTCCGACTGGCGACTGTGTGTGGGCGGTGTGTAAAAGTGTTTTGAAGTTGAACTTGAAATACATAAAGAGCGGCTAAAATGAGTTCTGGGTGAGTAAAAACTAAAAATCGACATAATAAATAAGTTAAGTGCATAAAAACTATAAAAGCTTTTATTAAAAACACTAAAAAAAATATATTTAATATCTTAAAGTTGTAAAAACTATAAACTTTTAAACAATAAACTATTGGAGGTTTACTCATCTAGAGCAAAGTAAAATATAAAAAAAATCTTAAAGGGCATCTGCCTTATATCTTTAACATTTATCATTATTTCTCGAGTATTATTCGAAAACTAATAAAAAGCACACCGTTCACTTGCCGGGGATATGGCTAGAAGGAAACAAAATAAATAAAACATATGTATTTACAGCTGAGTTCAATATAATAGTGTTTGATTTTTTTATAAGCTGCAGATTAAAATAGTTTGTTTCCATTAAAATACTATAACTTGTATTTAAAAAGATAAACGGTTTTAAAAATTAATACAAGAGAGGAAATATTCTTTTAATTTGAATATTCTTTAAAAATATATTTTTATTAATTTTTGTTTTTATTTGTAAGTTCTAATAAATTAACAATTTTGATTGGATTTGGCTTTTTGTATAGTTTGCTTTATAAGACTTTCATATATTTTGACCACTACTATTACGATGACCTCAGCTGTATGGGCCTATACGATGTATAGTATACATATAGTCTGAACATCTTTATGATCTCTTCTACAATTAAGGCTCATACATGAGTATTTTTGAAGGCCATCAACCCACGCCCAAATCTCTTTTGGCTACCCCACGCTGCACGCGCTTTTTGGCAGGCGACACTTTCGGTGTTTTCCCCGCACTTCCCTTCATTTCCCGACCTTCTCCTGGCCACCACTGCTAAGCGAATTAATTAATTAAATTTCCTATTTTTCAACAACATCTTACTCGGGCTGTGGCGGTGCACATTTTTATGTTTTAGCCCCGGCCAGCAGCTGTCTCTTGGCTTTTGTCTAGAAGCAATTGGCACACGTGTTGGGAATTTAGACGGCTGACGGCATTCACCGGAAGTTTCTATCGAACATCACCACGCACATCATAAAACAAATTCTGAAGAACCTTTCAAAACAAAAAGCCAAGAATTTGGCATAAAATGCATTTATTTCATTTTTTTTGGTACACTTTTCTTTAAGTTTTTCCTCAGACAGTAGATTTTTTTTTGCATTTCTTTGTTGACGTTGATGTGTGGCGCATAAATTTTCAGCACCCACGGAAATCTGCGATAATATATTGACGAAATTGGGTCAAACAGCAAAAAGAGAGGAAAAAAGATTATCTTGAGAAAAGCTAGGACCCCTTTATGAATATTAAATTTCGAATTGTCTTAACTTTCATTGTTTGAATTTTAGAAAGAGAAAACTTTCCACCGTTTGCAATCAAACGAATATGAAGTATACGCAACGTTTAACATATAAATACCATTTATATCTGGTTAAATAGACGTACAGAACTATAGGTACTTACAAATTTTACGTGTGAACTTGGAATAAATATTGACCATGTACACTCAGGTGTTGACGTTTATTTTGACTTAAATTATTTTTTGCATTTTAATGTCTGAGCCTCTGATGCATTACCAGACATGACTTTGATTTTTGTCAACGACAATTATTTTCACACTTCTTTGTCGGTTTTTTTTTTCTTCACTTTTGTTGATTGCGTAAATCAGGTGTGAGTTTATTTATTTTATACATTTTTGCATTTTTTTAAATTCAAAAAGTCAACAGATTTTTTGTCCGAAGTTCAAGTTGGTCGCAGTTGACCGTGAAATTTGAACGCGAAAAAGGGCATTAAAATTAAAGGAAGATTCCCAAGCGGATAAGACAGAAGAAATAAAGCCACACCCCTTCGGCAGTTCAACAGCATTGGGAATTGATTATTGGACAGCCATGTGAATGGACTTAGATAGTTCCCATGATAGTTGACTTAATGATTCACTTTTTTTTGCGTCTCGTCACAGCTGGTAATAAAATAATAATACAAAATTTAAAGAATACTAGGAAAGTTACAAGATAATTGAAGAACTGAAAAATAAGTCTCACAATTTTGATTATCAAATTCCAGCTTTTTATACCCGTTACTCGTAGAGTAAAAGGGTATACTAGATTCGTGCAAAAGTATGTAACAGCTAGAAGGAAGCGTTTCCGACCCCATAAAGTATATATATTCTTGATCAGGGTCACTAGCCGAGTCGATCTAGCCATGTCCGTCTGTCCGTCTGTCCGTCTGTCCGTCTGTCCGTCTGTCCGTCTGTCCGTCTGTATGAACGCTGAGATCTCAGAAACTACAAAAGCTAGAAGGTTGAGATTTCCCACACATATTCTTTGGCTTCCTACGCAGCGCAAGTTTATTTTAGCCGAGCGCCACGCCCCTCTAACGCCCACAATCGCCCACTAACGATTTTAAAATGGGTCCTGCGCCCACATCTTTAAAGATTTCCGAGAAGTATAAATGCAATTTTGTTGTGTATATTTATACCTATCGAAATGTAAAAGACATTTTTCAAATCGGACCATTCATTAAAAAGTTATACGCTTTATAAATTGTCAACATATATCTATCTCCCTCGCACTCCCTTTAGCTGAGTTACGATTATTAGTCGGGAAACCCCCCCCCCCCCCCCCGGGCTCCCCCTTTTTTTGGGGGGGGGGTTGTTTTATAGGGGGGGCCCCCCCCCCACTATAGCGTTCTCTCTTGTTTTATTTCTAATAAAACCTAAATATCAAAATATTTATAGTTCTTGTTTTACGACCGCCAAGTAAATTGTTTTTTTTAAATATAAACAACAAGTTCGTATTCTTTTCTTATATCCATGGAAAACATTTCCTTTGGAAATCCTAATAAACTTTCTCCAAAGTCTAAAATAAAATTTTCCTGCCTTGGTCTTTTTGTATTTCCACAAATCAATATGACAATTTTTCAACCAGCACCAATTCGAGCTGCAAGGAAAAATTTATAAAAATCGAAAAAAGGCGCTGGCGGGATTCGGTTGCCTATCTGGCCAAAAACGAGCGACGATGAATGACGACATGTGGTCATGGCAGGAAAAATATACCGAAATTCACGTTTGTATGCGCATTTATATCCACATCCCGCAACTCGGCTGAATAAGAAATATTACCGCCATCGATTGTGCAACGGGGTTTTGGGGCAGAGACTGCGTTTCGCTTTCACCTGGGATCGTTGACGTTGACCCAGGCCAGATTAATATAAATAATTACGAGTGCGAGTACCAAAGCCGAACCAAACCCAATCCCATGGCTCCCTGTCTGATGTGCTCGTGTCATGCAATCAACCCAGCAAAATGACAAATGCAAAACGAGTTGCACACTCAAGTAGTCGTAGAAAGTGATGAATGAGTTCCCTGATTGCGTTTGTTTTTTTCCCAAACGTATAAACTTTTTTCCCTGACGCTCAGATAGTTTTTCAAGGTCAGTTCCAACAATAAAAAGGCCCACAATATCAGAGTCTTACACACGCTCGTGTCTTTAATAGTGGGTGTTGATGGTAAAAGCTACTTTATTGGATTATCTTTTTTTGTTTTTCTTTTTATTTTTCCCTGGGAGATCGCTTTGCTGTTTTTGTATTTAATGGGATATAAATTTTGTTCGTTTTATGTTTGCAAAATTAAGTTTTGTATAAATAGCATTCGTATCTTTGTGTATGTACGTGTTTATGTTTTTTGTTTGCTCCCCTTTCTTTAATTTCTCTGTAGTTTGGGGTAATTTATGGGACTAATCGCCAGACCCACAGGCGTTAATCTTAGCGTTTTGGGAATTTTTTATTGTTGTTTTTTTTTATCGGTAAATAAAAGATACACACAATTTCTTTAATCATAATACATAGCAATATATTAAGATTTTCCTGTAACCAATTATCTGAAGACATCTGAACTATTTTTGTAAAGGAATCTATGCGAAATCAAAGATGTAAATGAAATAAAATTTTATCAAATAAAAACATTTTATTTTTTAAATGTTTTGATGAACTTAAGGCCGTTGCTTTAAAATAAATATAGTTAAATAATCTCCCACTGCAAGAAAGTGTGTCAAAAAATAAACGAAAGGGAAAAGAGAAAACCCACAGCCACATTTAACACATAATTAAAAAACCCATTCTTCACGGTCAGAAGAAATCATTCTAGTATTTCCCACAATAAGAGGCCTGTGGCTAACTAATTAGATGGCCCTCATGATTGATGTCTGCACAACACCGAATATCTCTGTGTGACCCAGTTTCGTGCCAGCCAAAACAGCCAGCTAAAATATTGAATGAATGGGGCAAACAGAAATTTTCTGACAGTTCTTTGAGCAAAGAATATTATTGACAGCCACTCGAATTTCAAGTGTGCGTCAATTGGCGGCCCAGCACTTAAGTGTTTATCAATCCTAGCCGAATGAGTCATTCATTTAGTCGGTTGGCCTGTCCTGGGTGTCCACTTCGAAGATGTCGGGTTCGCCGTGGAGTATGATCTTCACAAAGATCCTTTGCTGCATTCCTGAAAGGCAAAGCTCCCTAATATCGGTGGCCGTGTAGATCAGATAGTCCGTGTTGCAGTATATCAGATCTTCAGATTCGATGTCCTTTACAGGGGAGTCCAAAGGATTCCTTATGCAGCGCACTCCGGTTGTCTCATGGGCATAGGAAGCATCCAGTAGTGTTAAATGGGCATTCACCCGCCTGGAGGCCACCGGGCTCACCAGGTGGAATATGTAGACCTGTTCCTGGTTCACCATCGGCGGACTCACGTACAACATGATAATGATGGGCAGATGATGGAGAATCTGCAGCTCAGGAGTAACCGCACGGCTATGACCCACTCTCGGGGATCCGCCGTAGGCTATTACACCCACCGAGTGATTCTTTCCCGGCGTCAATGTGTCCAGCTCCACCTCGTACTGCATCGGCATATCAGCTGCGATCTCGGCCATCGAATCCTGGGGATCGTGCCGCATCAGCAGATGGGCGAGCATCTCGGGCGGCGACATTTGCGACTGGCACTCGGCCACTGGACACATCAGCGGAATTCCATAGAGCGCCTTCAGGTCCAAATGGGCGAACCGGTCGTTCTGGGTGGGATATTATGGAAAGCTGAGACGGAGCTGATTTTTCTTGTGTGCAACTTACCATAATTTCGGGAAAGAAGTAACTTTATTTCTCTGGGTAATATTTCAATTGATCTCGCCAGTAAATAAGTTGTCGGAAAAAAAAAGAAATGTCGGTAAATTGAAAGGAAATTCTTGTTTACTGATCGTAACACTGCGTTACAAATTAACCAATTTATAGAAATCTCTTAACTGGATTTGCAATAAAACATAATACTATATATTTTTTATCATTTTATTTAATTTAATTTAAAGATAATTAATATTATTTATTTTTTATAGATATATTTATTTTTATTTTAAATTTTAACACTATTTTTGTAATGAGATAGAGAAATATTAAAAATAGATATAAAATTAAATAGGTATTGGAATTATTTATTTTGATTTAGCTACAATAGATAAGAGATCTATTGAAAGTTCAAATAGTTTTAGTTACCTATAATGGGATCAAACGAAAGTCGAATATTTGATGACCAGAACCGTCAACAATTAATGTTTGACGATGTTGTCTCTTAACTTTCCCCTTCTCTGTGGCATTTTCCGTTGTTGTTTTTTGTTGTTTTGCACAAATTGTAGCTGTCAGCCGGCAAAAGAAAATGATTTCAGCCCAGTCATTCTGCGTTTTAAATTCCTTAACGCTTTCTTGCCAATTATTATTTAACTGGGCACAAAGCAGTCGCAAAAAGTAAAAAAAAAAGACAGCAGAAAAGATAACATCTTATTTGTCTGTCAAGGCTAGTGGGCCACATTTCCGCAGATGCTTGTTCAAATGAGTTAATTAGAGCAGCAAACCGAGTGCGCGGATTCGATAAAGAAATCCCCCGAACTGAGATAGTGTCGAAGTTACAGCCGTGGGAGATACCCTGCCCGTCTTAGGATATTTGTCTAATTATGAAGAGGCAAAAGACAAAAGTAATAAGCAGACGACATGACAGCGGAGTGAAAACAATTAGCCGCACGATAAGAGATGCAGATACAGCCGAAAGATACCAGATACAGATAAACGAAAGCGTCGCAAAGTCTTTTTGGCGTTTAGCTGGAAATTTGTCGCCATCATCGAACCGCATTGACAGACAAATAAATTGCTCTGCAGTCCGCGTGCCAGCCGACCGTTTGTCAAGAGATCGGTTTTCCTTTTGCGGCACCACTGGAAATGTATCTGCAACAAGTTGCCGAACCAGCCGACTCAGCTGCGCCGTCCAACCTCAAGCGATCCGAACCCGACTTCAATGCGCCTCGAGAGTCCGCTGCGATCAGTCGCCCAGTGCGCTTCTCAGATACAAACGAACCTACGAGATACATCGTTTTTTGCGCAGCGCGTGTGTCTTGGTTAGTGAGTGATTAAAGTGTGTCCAAGTTAGTGATTAAATCCAGGAAAAATTCCCAGCTATTTGCTAGATATCTATCTACCCCTTGGGATTCCAAGCAAATGGTATCTTGATAAAGATTTACTATGTACCTCATGCCTAAAAATAATTAACGTGCGTGAGCGTTCTCTCTTGGGACGGAAAGCAGCTGGTCTACATACTGATTCTCTAATTGATTTCCCCAAACTGCGATGATTCTTCTCTGTTGTGAATGAGTCATCCGTACAACATAAGCATTTGCCGGCTGCCCTGTGTCAAAAAAGGTTAAATTGACTTCGATCGATCGTTGAGTCATTCGACCACCTAGGCTCCAATAAAGCACCTTTGTTTTCCTGTCCCGCGATCGGACAAATGTAAATCCGTTGTTCAACCCATTGTACCTGGTTAGATTGTTACCCTTTGTTTGGCGAATCTACTGATAAGGGCAATTGCAAACAGGCAAATGTGTTGTAAATATTTTTCTTTCATTTGTTTAACTTCAAATGCGCTTAAAAACAGACATTCACAACAAAGAAAGTATGCAGAGGAGGGGAAAATCCCTAAAAATATTTTTCAATGCATTCTATTTATTAAAAAATAAGAAAATTCTATCTAAATGAAAAATATAATTTTTTAAAAATAAATAAACATAAGGTGCAGTTTATAAGCAGAATTTAGTGTTTTTCATATTATAATCTTTAAACCCATTTGCTTGGACCCTGCGTAGATAGATCAGCTTTTCAAAGAAAATCGACTCATTTCCGCACCATGCAAGTGTAATTTAAAAACAAAAATTCCGATAAAATAGTGAAGCAATAAATAAGAAAATTAAAAAAATATAAATAAACAAGAAAGCACAAACAATGGCCACCTCAACGCTGCAATCTCCGTCGCCTTCGCCATCATCCGCCCCCGTTTCGGCCAAGAATCCGCAGCTGAAGCGCGTCGTCTACTCCAAGTATCGGGAACTGCTCGGCTCCTATAATGATAAGGCCAATGCCATCATCGACACTCTGCCCGCCTATATGGTTCGTCAGGATCGCGGATTTCAGCTGTCAGAGTTGCCCGTGAATGGAAATGGAGATGCCAAGATGGTTCTGGAATCCTCGTAAGTTCCCCACCAAACTCAAAGTCAAATCAAAGCCAAACACTTAACGCGCAAAAAAGAAAAGAGAGCTGGAGCTAGAAAATGCCAGGGCAAAAAGCCATTTCCAAGTAAATATTTATCGCTAGATTAGCTCAACTGCGGAATGTGGGCGGCTGACTGGACGGAGCACCCTGTACTCCCATGCTCCCATACCTCGATACTCCGAGTTCAGGTCCAGCTATTTATAGAAGAGACGGGCGGACAATGACTATCATTATGTCATGTTGCATGTGGCAGCTTTCAAGTTCTTAGTTCTGCTTCCACAGCTGCTGATGTTGCTGTTGCTGGCTGCCCTTGATCTTGAAATATGCACGGCCAGCTGCAACTGCGGATGCTTCTAGGCAACAAGTTTGCTATTTAAATTACAGGGTATTTGGGGATATGATAGAATTAGTTCCCATGACACATAAATATCTAAATTTGGGTTTTAACTTTCATAATATTAGCTCGATATTGTAATTTCAATATCCAATAAGATTAGAAAAGTTGGATACAATGTACATAAAATTTTGTTTTTATAACGTAAACATTAGGTACCAATTCTGATATCAGACATTCAAGACAGAAGAGTACAGTAAAATCCTTAATCTGTTTCTCAATGTTTAAAAATAAAATTTGTTAAATTAATTAATAATTCGCAATTTAAAGATAACTGATTATAAAAAAAGTATTAGCCCCAAAATGGATATTTCAAGAGAAATCAACGAGTTTATCACTCGTTTTTCCAGCGCTTTCCTAAAGACATCTCCCGTATCTAGCGGATCCACCCGGTTCCAAGTCAAAGCTAAGTTGCCTTTAGATACATTTTTGCACGCTCATTTGCATGCGCAAATGCAAAATCAAAGCCAAAAGTAAATAAAAAATGAGAAAAAGTGAAAATGCGAAATCGCACAGATGTTTTTCTATCATTTAATTTTTAAATTGGGTTTTTTGTTACCATTGCATGTTTTCAACTCACGCACGAACAGCTGCGATTCGAGGATTTCTGCTGTTTTGCATTTATTTTTGGCTAAATATAAAGCTCAGCCATCAGTCAGTTAAATGTTTTAGATATATGTTTATTTAAGGCGCAAAGTGCATGTAGAAAATGTCACAATTACATTTGCATATGCCTATGATTCACAAGGAATATAGGTAAAATGTGCCAGTTAATTAGTCATTTATTTATTTATTATGGGAAAACTATTGATTTGAAATGCTTTTGGTCCACTCTTCCTGGTTCCTCGTAGTTTCTTCTTTGTTTTTGGGGGGTCTGACATTTTAATTGCCAAATCTGTCATAGAGAAAAAGCAGTTGGCGGTCTTGTCTTGTGGTCAATTGCTGGCCAACCGAATCCCCAAGTACTGAAACCAAGTACTGACGCCATGTCCCGGCCATTGACGTCATCAGGCGGCATCTGTGCCTTCAGCGCGTGTATCTTTTAGTTTTTAATGTTTTTTTCCCCGAGAAATAATTTGGCAACTTTGTTTTTTAGTTCAATATGCGTGACGATCATGGGAATCGAGAACAATGAATGGTTCCCTCGATATTTCAGGAAATGTTTAGTGCATTAAACTGACATTTTTCCAGGCTGGTCACGGTGTTTAATAACTTTCATAACCGAGCCGAATAAGGCGGGCTAGCGTTTAATACAGAAAAACAGTTAACCAAACGGTTGTGTAAATTGAATTTCCTACCCGACCATAAAACACTCCGATCGAGTCAATAAACGAGGGGCAGTATACCCATACCCATACCCAAGTGAACCGATCGACCTCACAATTTTGGGCTTGGCTCTCGACAATTATGGAAGCTGCTGGATGCTATTAATTCGCACATAATCAATGGCAAGTTCAGCAAACACACACGGTTATAAAAGTGTACCAACCTGCCCGGGAATATCTTTCCATAGTTTTGTACTCCCTGTCATCTGAAATAAGGAGCAGACGGCATTTCTTCGATCCATTCCCAAATAGGGAGGTAATTAATGAATCGCTCTGACTGGCTTCGATTTAAATGCGATTTTGTGGTGACAACTAGCTAACCGCATGGTGTTACGTCATTTGCATTTGACTTTGATGCACGCGCTCCAATTTGCATGTAAGCCAGTTGTGGGTGAGTTTCGCAACCGTTTTCCCACACAACTTGGCCTTCGCATTTGCGGTTTTGCTCTCAGTCTCAAGGGGAGGAGGGTTTTTCGTTTTAAATAAATTGTAATAAATTGGCAAAACCACAGAGTTTTTATGGAACAACTGCAGCAGACAGCAGGCATCACCTGTTCCTGTTCGCCTGACCCACTTGGAGGCGAATCATCATCGTCCACGCACATGACAAACGGGCCTGACAACTTTTCAGAACCCGATTCCGATCCCGAACTCCATCACTTTCTTTCAGCATAACAGACTTTCATGCTGCGACAAACGTTAACGAGAACGTCGCCGAACCTCTTCGATTTTCGCTTTTAATTAGCGAATTGTTAACGTTTAACGCATTTAAAATAAGCAAATTATGCGGAGAAAAGTCGACACTGACTGGGAAGTGGGATGTACATGTACATGAAGACATATTCAACGGTAATGAGAAAGTGCGAATAGGAAAATTTCCCTGGCTGAAATCTACATGAAATAAATAAAATCCTTAAAATCGTCATTATCATCAACATATTTTATACTTATTTGGCAAGCATTTATCTGGGTGTCCTAGAAATCTTCATTGATTTTCTAATAGAAGAATTAGAATAATATAATTCATATTATAATTAACATTGTATTATATTATATAATTAATTAATTAAAACAAGAAAGGGACACCTTCGGCCAGCCAAGCTATATACCCTGTAGAAAGAATACTCACCGGCAGTTCCAGGGATTCCAGATTCAGCGTTTCGATTTATTTCAATTTTGTTTTTAAGTAGTCAAGAATTAAAACGCCTACTTCCTACAAAGTTACAATGAATTTTCTTATATTTGTTTGGGAGCCTTAAGATATAGGGCCGACCGGCTCGCTCCGACATATGTACTACCGCAATAAAAAAGACCTTCGGGAAAGTTTCATCGCGATAGCTTTAAAACGAGAGACTAGTTCGCATAGAAACGGACAGACGGACAGACGGACAGACGGACAGACGGACATGGCTAGATAGACTCGGCTATTGGTGCTGATCAAGAATATATATACTTTATGTGGTCGGAAACGTCTCCTTCACTGCGTTGCAAACATCTGACTGAAATTATAATACCCTCTACAAGGGTATAATAAAAGATTAGCAAAGGTTGTCAAGGTATATAATTTCGCTTCGAAAAAGTGTTACTTAATTTCTCTATTAACTTTACTATAATCAAACTAATCTATGCAATTTTTTCAATAGACCTTTTTTTGCCATGATATCACCATAACTTCTCACTTTCAACCTTTCAAATTTGGCACTTCATCGGTCGTCTGAACTTTTATGGTCGGTCGTCCGTAACAACTTCAACTCACTTTCCCCCTTGATCGTTAAAAAATCAAATCAAAACATTGGCTCATTGAACTATCGATGAACGACTCATTAGTCAAGCAGCAGCAAAGAAAGGAAAACAACACAATTGAGTGCTTTTGCCGGCGAACAAGAGCCAAACAATAAATTAGAAAAAGATTTAACAAAAATTATGATAAATAGCTTGCAAAAAAAATAGAGAGGAAGCCAGATTAGCATGACCAGGGGGTTGCGAAAATAAAACTATACACTTAAGAAAATGTTAGCGAAAGGCTAGGGAATTTGTATTTAAAATTGTTAAAGAGCTTTGAGGTTTTATAAATGATAAATTATCACGATACAGAGACAACTAACTTATTCTATGGTTAGGACATTTTTTGACAATATCTCTAAGTATTGATTACTTGTTTTTACAATTATTAAAAATTAGCTTAAGTCATGCGAATTTGTATTTAAAATTTTAAAAGAACTTTCAGGTTAGATCAATGATAAATTCGTGATAATTTATCATTATACAGTTACAATTAATTTTTGAAATAGATAGAAAATTTTTAAATTTATATTTCTAAATATTTTATTTATTTATTTAGTTGGTTAACAATTATCTGCTAGCATATGCTTAACTATGGATACACTAACTAATTACAATTCTAACGATTTGAAATGACTTAAAATATTAGACGGAAGAGTGCTAATAGGTAATTCAAAAGACAAAATGTTGTAAAAAAGGTTAATGTTATTTTATTTTTACAAATATTAAAAATTAGAGCTATACACTTTATATATAATATCTTTCTCATTATTTGCGTGTTTTTTTATTTGTTTTTTGATGTAGCTATGGACAGCGCGGAGGAGGCGGATCCGGAAATGGCGGCTACGAGGCGCCCGCCTGCGTGCAGAACGCGATGATGACAAAAGACAAGAAGCCCTTCACCTACACGCCCGGCGGCATCGATCTCTCCCAGATCCGGTCGGAGCGGATGGCCAAGCGGCTGGCGCGCAATGCCCAGTCGGAGGGAGCCACCGGCGCCGCCCAACAGAACAGACCCGCCCAGCCGCAGTCGCCAGGTGGAGCGGGTGGTGCAGCCAGTTCGATGGGAGCCGCTGCCATGGGCATGCCGTTCCAGGTGCTGCCACCGCCGCCACCACCGCCACAGCAGTCACAGGGTAAGAATGGCATCCAAGGTGCCAGCGCTGCCGCACCCCCACCACCACCCCCACAACAACCACCCAGCACGTTAGCGCCACCCACTGGCCGCCTGAGTGCGCCCGGTTCGCCGGCGACGGCTCGCAAATCGCCGACTCCACAGCGTTTTGAGCCACCGCCGCTGGGTTTCCGGCCGGAGATCAAGATCCCGGCAAATCCGATGGCCGCACTCCGCAAAGTGGCGCCACCTGTCGAGAAGAACACGTTCTGGAAGGACGAGTACCGCAAGGATCGCTCCAAGAGTCCGCTGCCCGAGGTGGCAGCCGGAAATGGCAATGGAAATGGAAATGGTGGCCAGAATGGAGGATACTCCAGCCCAGCAGATGCCGTTGATGGTGAGCAGAGCCCCCGCCCCCAAGAGGAGTTGGCTCGCTTTACTTTTGGGTGTTTTTATGGTTCCGCTACTGATCCTGATCGACTCATGATACATCGCCAGCTCTTACTAAGCGGTTGAGGTTGCTTCTTCTAAAAACCCCATTCGACTAACCTGACATCCAAAAGGCCTCACAAATTGGCCGTGAAAAACTCCCACTAACTGCACTAAAATAATAATGGGATTTATAGAGAGTTCCATGAAAGTAATTAAATTTTCCTTTCACAAATGTAGGTCCAAGACCATCGGCAGCCAGCGTGGACAGCAGCTATAGTCCCTACACTCCCACTCAGCAGGCGCCTCCCGTGGCCAAGAGCCCACCAGTGCAACAGCAACAGCAGCAGCAGCCCACGCCACCGGCAACACCGCCGCAACAGCAGCAGCAACAGCAGTCGGAGCAGCAACCTGCAACACGCCAGGAGTTCCGCAGTGTGGCCATGCCCACTTCGCCGGCTGTGAGTGTCTACACTCGCCAGACGGACAGTCCTAGATCGCCTTTCGAGCAACAGCAGCGATCCACTGAGAGCCCCTTCCGCTTTGCACAGCAGCAGCAGCAGCAACAGTCGCCGCAGCAACGTCCACCAACAGCAATTTCGCCGCTAGCTCAGGTGCAGCAGCAGCAGCAACAGCAATATCAGCAGCAATTGCAGCAGCAACAATTGCAGCAGCAGCAATTGCAGCAGCAACAATTGCAACAGCAACAACTACAGCAGCAGCAGCAGCTGCAGCAACAACTACAGCAGCAGCAACTACAGCAGCAACAATTGCAGCAGCAGCAACTACAGCAGCAGCAACTGCAGCAACTGCAACAGCAACAACAGCAGCAACAGCAACAACAGGCAGCTCAATCGGTTCCCTGGCGCACTCAACGCACACAGCCTGCAGCACAGCAGCAACAGGAATCGCATCCACAGCCCATCTACAACAATGTTCAGCAGCAGCAACAAAGATCTCGCGATGTCTTCAGTCCAGCAAGGACTGAAGCACCAGCAGCAACCACGTTCAATGCAAGTCAACAAAACCAATTTGCCGGAGCAGCAAAGCCGGTGAGTAATATTTTTATAATGCGTTATTTTAGTATAAGTATATTTAACTTAAAGCTAAATATCTCAAGCATATTTTTCAAGATCAGCTAAATTGTTACGAATGTTTACCCATATGCAGCTTGCTCACTAATTTTTGTGTTATTTCCATATCGAACTGACCTTTAACTTTATTACTCATACGCCTCATTGTGCAAGTCTCCGAATGGCCTATGAGTAATTTCTAAATAAACCGGCCACCGCTAATTTGTAAAATACCTATTTATGTGAAGCAATATTAAATATTCACGTAAATACAAGGCAAATAAATGGAACGCATGAAATCAAGTCAAATGGCTGACAAGCTGTTTTCGCGGAAGAACAATAGGATATTTTTAAACCGAATTCATCGAGCGAGAGTGTTTGATTCGCACATAAAACTGAACATTGAATGCATTCACCAAGTGCAGCGTCTAAAATTAGGCACATGCAAAGGCCAAACACGAATTTTGAACTTGAGGCGATTGGCAAGCGAGAAATTTCAGGGGGAAAAATTAAAAATTTAAATAAACAAGGGGGGATGATAGGTGATGATTAACTAAATTAGTTAAGTAAATATTCAAAAATTTGTTTTAAATTTCTTTGGACAGACCAACGTTGGCTCGCTGTACATAGCTCCATTGGCCCAGCCCACGGAGCCGCAGGCCCAGCGAATCCTTCTGCAGCAACAGCAGGCATCCGCCCGGGATTCCCCGATGCGCCAGCTTCCACAGCAGCAGCAGGGATCGCCGCAGCAGCCACAGGGCAACCAGCCGATGCGATGGCTCAGCTCACAGCCGGCCAGCAAGGAGCAGGCTCCCTGGGCTCGTCCCGAGGAGAATGGCAACGTCCTGCCCTCCACTCTGCGACAGACCACGCCGGCCCCGCAGCCCCAAGTGGCACCTCAGTCGCAGTCGCAGCCACAGCAGCAGCAGCAGACATCCTTCTACCAGCCCCAGTTGGTCCAAGGAAATGGCTATGGACCCACTGCAGCAGCCACAGCTGCTCCCATCAGTCTGCAGAACTTCGGATCCAATCCCCAAGCTGGAGGACTTCGTTTGCAGATCAACGTAAATACCAATGGCAGCAGCAGCAATGCAAATCAAAGCGCTCCAAGGGTGAGTTTGAAATTAAAGAATTTTTGAAAATATACTTTATACAGTCTATTAAAATTTGCTATATTATTAAAAGAAGAAGAAGAGAAGAAGATAATGCAATAGAAATTTAATTGTTATAGGCCTTAAAAGTTCCAATTGTAATAGGCCCCAAAAGTTCCATAATTGGTAAATAAATATTCCCATCTCTTTATATTTTTAGGAGCGTATCATACCCATAACCCTAGAGCAGACCCCGACTTATGCCGCAGCCCAGCCCAACTTTGGTGGTAAGTTTTTATAAGAGACTCCTGCTTTTATGTGTTTTGTGTATAATATATGTGTGGCGCTTTCCTAAAAACCCCTAAATGTTTGTGACTAAAACCGTACGTAGTTTTTTCCCACCCCAAAACCCGAAACCCAAAACTCCCGTGCACTCTCCACCCCAAAGGAATGACTTTCACCCGTGTTTGATCCTCCCGAATCCCTGCTCTCTCGTCCAAAAGTGTAACTCTCCAACTTCTACATCACTATGTGTCTATGTATACTCTTTCTTTCCCACGAAAGCGCCTGCAGGTCACATAATTCGCTCAGCTAATCAATTTGTCGATCAAGGTTACCACAATTACCCAGCTCAGGCACAGCGAGTCCTGTCGCCCAATCAACAGATGCCCAATGCGAGTAACACCAATGGCAATGGTATTGGTAATGCCACCCGGATAATCCCAATTGCTATCGAGGGAGGACGAGGCGGTCCAGTTTCCCAGTCGCCGGTGCTGCTGCAAAAGTAAGTAGAGTCGCGTAATACTTCCCATTAGATATTTTTGTGCTTTTTCAACACCCAACAATTGGCCCGCACTAATGCGTATTAATTTTGTGCTTTTCTACCAACTAAACCAACAACTATTCAGTGGCAATTACAATTTGTATGTGCACCAGTGTCCGCTCGAGGCGGAGATACTCTACAGAAAGAATCGTCTCAGGTAGTGCCCACTGTGCCCACCAAAGTACTTACTTACTTATATATCGAATAACATCAGTACTTCATGCCATGCATTCCTAAGTGTTGTTCATTGAAAATATTTGGAGCAGACAAGCCTATTTTATATTTTGTATTGAAACAGACAAGTCTACTTTGTATTGAAATCTGAATTAAAATCTGATTTTACAATCTACAGAATTGTATCCCAAAGATTGAATTTTTATTTATTTATTTTTTTTAATTTGTTTTTATTTTAAAAATGCTCAAAAAACAGTTTAAACTTTTCTGTAAGCGTTGATAGGCGTAGAAAAATTCTAAATTTTTGTTACATCTCAAATATAAAATATTATATTTGAAACGTTCATATAAACTTGATTATATAATCAAAACTCTTATTTTAAATGACAGATAAGAAATGACAAATATAGCTATCAACTCGTATCTAACTCCTCATATATTGCATTCGCATTCTAGCTTAAAGTACAGTTTCGTACATCTTTAAAAATTTTACAAGATTTGGTTTCTTTAAATTCCATCACAAATCGAATTAAATTCAAACCCAAACTAACCCAACCAATAATCCCAACTTTCGCGCACACAAAATCGTTGTAATTCGGTTGATTTCAGACATTTTCGACGGCATGCTAACCAACAACCTAACCTAACACACGCCTATATCTACTTGCAGCGATCCACGCTCACCGCCCATCCAATCGAAATCGTTTAGAATATTGCAAAAGATAACCGACACTGTGGACGATGGCAGCGGGAATGGTGGGCAGGACTTGCGGCAGGACTCGCGGCAGGATGTGCAGCAGACGCCCCAGGAGGCGGAGCTGCAGCGGCCGCAGTTCGCCCGCCAGATGAGCGCCCAGCAGGCCAGGAATAGTCCGACCATCGAGCAGATGCGTCGCCTGCAAATCGCCCAGGATCAGCAGAGTAACCATCAGCAGTCGGGTACGCCATTAGCTTGGTCCCCGCAAGGTGAGATCCGATAGGTTGTCCCTATAACCCATGGTACCCCATCCTCAGAAATCTCATTACCCCATATCCATCATCGGTTGGTAAGATTCTGGTCTTCGTGGTGAAAGTGCCTAATCCTCGGGGAGTGTCTTGGGTCCTTGGGAACTCTACTAATAATACGTAAAGCCGCTTTTAGCCACATAGAACACCTTCTGGTTGACAGAAACTAATCAGCTTCCTGTGTCTGTCCTGACTTGAATCACAAGTATTGGTGGCTTACCAAAATTATGCAGCACTACTAAGTAGAAAGCTAATTAGATTAGATAAATATTGCATTAATAAGGTTGATATTTATTTAGTAAATGTTCAATGTTTCTTTTAGGTAATGGCGTCTCAGCTCAGAACCGATTTACGCAACAACGATATGGTAAGAAGTTAATCGAGGTTATCTTTTATTAGCAAACCAAAGAGCAATAGATATTAAATTATTTATGTATCTTTCTTAGATACCCCCCAACAACAACAACAGCAATATGTGCCGCCAAGTGAACAGCAAGCTCCGGAACCCAAAAAATACACCGGCAGCGCTATTCCCAGTCGATCATTCAAAATTCTACAGGCAATGACTACACCTGAAAATGCCGGTAAGTACAGCTGTGCCAAAGAACTCAGTGTTGAATCGTTTTCTGAAATTTAGTTACCAGTTTTGAATCCCAAACATACATCAGACAAACATCATGGCTGTATATATATATATACTCAGAACCCATCGAGCATCACTAATCCCAATGATCACACGCTCATTCAGACACAAGCACATGGAGCATTGCATCAAGGATCGTAATTTTAAAACCACTTTTTTGAGAGATTTCACCTTTTTACGCTGAATGGTGTCCCACCCAAAGTTTGACCTAATCCCAATGGCTTTTGATATTCAACTTTTGAGCATCCATTTACAGCGCATTTTAAAACCATTTTGCACTACTCATGCGCCACTTACTTGTACATAGCTTGCTTTACCATTTAACCAATCTATTAATCAGATCAATTTGACAATAAAAGGATCACATGAAAAACACACACAACATAATGTTCGCACTCTCACCGTGTCTATTTCTCTTTTTTTCTTCTTTTATATTTGATAACCGTGTACCACAAAACCGACCTCAGACCATAAAATTCACACCGAGCTGGACTCGGATTTGGAAAATGTTGAACTGAACGAAACCCCAAATAATAATAATACAAATAATAATAGTAACAACAGCGGAAATACTGAAAATAATAATAATCATAATAAGATTAACAGTAAAACCAATAAACGTCATAGCTACACATCATCTAGTTTCACCCCCACATCATCACCCTGCACAGAACCCACCACCCACTCATCAAACTCATCCCTCAATTCGGATAGCTCTTGTCCCCCGCAGGCACCTCGATCGCAGTCGGTGCCACCGCATTATCCCTATGCCTTTGGCTATCCCTATCCTTGGTACGGAATGCCTCCTCCTCCGCCGCCGCCTGGAAATGGTGATGCCGCTCCTTGGCCATATCCCTACTCGTATCCCCCGCCACCTCCACCCCCTCCTCAATCGGTGGATGGAAAGCCTGCCGAGGGATTTCCCCCGTATCCCTATTACTATCCGTACTATCCACCACCCCTGCCACCCTATAATCAACAGCCGGGGGAGTCACAATTTCCCCCCGGCTATCCCCAGTTCTATGGCCATCCGTATCCCTACCCGGTGGCTCCCAGTTACAGCCAGAGTTCCACCGAGGAGCAGAGCAGAGCCAGCAGTGTTCTGCCCGATATTATCATCACGCCCAGTACCGATGATATACCCTCGCAGGTGATCATGCAGCATCACATCCGCGTGGAGCCACGAGAGCCTCCCAAGCGGGCGCACTCCGTGGAGATCGAGGAGCTGGTCAGCAGACCGAAGGCCCGAAATATTTGCACCAACAAGCACGAGGTCATCGATGTGCTCAGTCAGCGTTTGGCCAATATCAACAAGATTGCCAGCGGCAATACTCAGGCCAATCTTTCCAAGCAGCTGCACAAGAACTACGCCGGCGAGCAGTCCAAGGAGCTGGGCGAGAGATCCCCCAGTGAAAATGCCTCCAACTCGGACAGCGAATCGGAGGAGGAGAGCAGCGATGAAGAGGATACCCCAAAGCCCGTAGCTCGTCCAGCTCCCCTGCAATCCATCAAATCGGTGACCAATGTTCAGGTCTACAAGGGAAAGACCTTGGAACAGCATCTGGACTCCGAGAGCAGTGAGGAGGAGGACGAGGATGATGTGACCACTGCGGATGAGATGTTCGATGAAGAGGAGCAGGAGGGCCTGGTCGAGGAAATGGACGATGATTACATTGTGGAGGAGGATCTGAGTGTCATCTACGAGGAGGAGAGCGAACTGGAAAGGAGCAGTGAATACGCCAAAACAGTCATAAGGAAAGATGACTCTAGATCCACCATAGTCGATGAGATCGAGAAGCAAATCGAAGAGAACGATGATGACGATGACGAGGAGTCCAATTCGGTAACAGTTCGCCTGCCACTCCGTTTCTCCTTCAGCCGCAGCTCCAATGATGAAAACATTGCCACCGTGCAGGTGGGCAATACAACGCAGATCGAGGAGAAGCAGCCAAGTGTCGTAAACTCTTTCAGTGTGGCCAAGGTGGAAAGCGAGGATGAAGACGACGACGACTGCGAGGTCAGTGTGACCATCAGTTTGTCGAACTCTTCGCGTTCGAATTCGGTGGAGAAGTCTACCCAACCGTATAAGACATCCAATGCCTATCCCGTGGAGGAAATTATCACACCCCGCAAAGCCAGCGAAGAAGACGTTTCCGCTTCGTTTTCACTAGGAATGCGTAACAAGTTCATGGGTGAAACGATTGCCAATGATGTAACCAATAATATTTCCCGAGAAGAAGTAAAGGATGTGGCAAGTTCACCCAAAGAGGAGTTCGATTTCTTTGCCACTCTGATGGCCACCAAAATGCAGGCCCAAAAGATGATGGAGCAGTCCAAGAACTTTTGGAAGACACCTGAGGCGAAGCAAGTAGAACCGACTGTCGAAACACCAAAGCTTAGACCTAAAGAAAATATCTCCGAGGCCAAGCCACCTAGACCAGTATCTGGTGACATGTCCAAGACTCAAGCTTCGCTGGAGGCTGCCAAAAACAGCTTTTGGTCCACTTTCGCCACAGCCTCTAAGGAAAAGGAGCCTGAACCGCAGGAGCCACAGTCCAAAGCCGAGGAAGTTGACTTTTGGGCCAGCATTGAGAAAAAGGAAACCTTTGATGGGGAAGAAAAGCAGTGGACCAAGAAAAAGAAAACCGTAACCTACACACCCCTGCAGAAAGAGTCAATTACTCGAGTGGAACACTGGACAACAACACTCAGGGCTCAGGTGAATTCTCTGGACACTCCGCAAAAAGCCGAAGTGACTTTTGTAGTTGAAGAAAAGCCTCCCCAAGAGGAGAACAAGGTTGAAGAAGAGGATTTCTGGGCCTCGGTAAATCAAGAAACCTATAAATCAGAGCCCCAAAACGAACCCGAGCTTAACGTTTGGCCAGTTGAGGAAGTGCCAGAGCAACCCTCGCAGCCAGATGAAGAGAACGTTGACTTCTGGGCGGACATTGAATCAACTACCAGCTTCCAAGATGAAGAGAAACCACAGGATTTCACCTACGATCCCACCAAATACCCAGAAGAACCTCGAGAAGTGGATACCGATGAGGAGATCGATTTCTGGGCCGAGATCGAAGCGAAACGCAAGCCAGGTGAAGACGACGATGAAGATGTCACCTTCCATAAGTCAGCCACCTTCTGGGCACGCAAAGAACGCCAGAATTCAGTGGAGGAGACGCCCTATAAGCCCGTAGAGATCAAGGCGTTTAGAGCCAAGTTGCCCGATGAAGGGGCTGTTGAAATAGATGTTTGGGCCACCTTAGAAGCAGCCAGAGGTCACGAGCCGGAAATAGTGGATCCCGTGGTGGAGGAGGAAAAGGTTCTGGTCGAGCAATTCGAGGAACTGGAACACGAGAGTGAAGAAGAGGAGGTGGAGCAAGAAGAGCAGATTAAGGAACAGATCCCCGAGAGCAACCTCAGCCATGTGGACACCATGTCCCTGGCTTCGATGCACGAACCAGCCACAGTCTACACATGGAATCCACCGCCGCAGGAGCAGGAGGATCAGGATGAAACAGATTTCTGGGCGGACATGGAACAGGAACGATCCAAGAAGGAACAGTTCGAAGAGGCGGAACAGAAGCGGCACAACTACCGCCAGGCCATGGCCTTCTTCAACACCTCCATCGATGGCCAGCAGTCGCCGCCGCAGCAAACAGCGAGTCCCAATCGCAGCAGTGTTATCCTGGAGGTGGAGGAGCCACAGGAAGTGGACCTGGGACCACCGGGTGAGTACCAGCTGGTGGGGGAGGATGGCCTGGTCGTGGAGGAGCACAAGCCAGCAATAACCGAAGCCGAGGAAGAGGAGCGCGGAGCAGCGACTCCCACCAACATGGAGCCCCAACTCCCTGAGGTCTATGTGGAACCCGAACTCCCAGAAATCAGACGCCTGTCCAACGGACTACCCGACCTTGCCGTCGAGAAGTTTACCCAAGAGACGCCCAAGATATCAGTGCGAGATCGGATTAGTGCCTTTGAGGTAATACCCTCGACTAACGATGCCTCCAAGGGATTGACCAAGCAATCCCTGTCGGTGGACAGTGCCTATGGCAAGGGCACCCTGTCGCGCAACAGCAGCACCCAGCGCTCCGAGTCGGAGATCGAGGAGGACGACTCCGGGGTGACGGACATGAATCGCCAGCTCTCCGAGACGGACACCGAATCCGAGAGCTTCCCAGAGCTGCGCAAGATGACCAGCTACCAGCGGGCGGCCACACATTCCAGGCTCTTCAAGCTGCTGCAGGACGAGAACGATGTGCCGGAGGCGGGAGCCAGTCCATCGGATGAGTTCCAGCTGAAGCCCAGTCGCCGGAAGATTGTCCACAATGTCTCCATTACGAGGCGTCAGAATCCAGGGGTTCTCAACGATGCGGAAACGATGACTCAGCGCAGGGAACGACTCTCGCTGCCGCTTCGCAAGAATACCAGCATCGATGCGGACAATCCCTCGACGCCGAACAGTCCGGCCTCGCCCATCATGGGACCCTCGGCCAAGAACCAGCGGGTGGTGAGCGACAAGCTGGTCAATGAGCTCGTCCAGAGTTTGCTCCTCAAGAGCGACAGTACGCATTTGAGGAATCTGCCCATGGAACGCCTGCAGGCGGCCGCCAAGAGGGCGCTGGTGGAGGAGATGGACTCGGCGCAGGAGAACAGCTCGCTGGACAGCACGCCGGCACCGACGCCCAAGCAGGACAAGGAGTACTCCGACTACTACAACAGCTGGTGCGAAGCCAGCGGGGATGAGGTGCTGCCCTCAAAGAGCTTCCGTTCCGAACCACGTCGCAGTCCCTGGACGGTGCGGTGTCCCCGGGTGCTCAGCTCCAAGACGATCAATCGGGATTTGGCCCGGGTCACAGAGTCACCGGAAATAGCCAATGGACGGGGCAGCAAGAGCCCGGAATGCTTCCGCCAGAACTCCCACTCGCAGAGCAGAGAACGCTCCGTGAGCAGTTGGCGGAGGGTCTAGGATACGGCAAGGGATTGCCTATATGCTTAGTATACAGAAAAGGGCGGGTCTATAGTCTTTAGCAGGGATGTGAGACCGGTTCGAATGGGAAATCTCGAATGCGCCCCACACCAAACTCGAACGAAATACAATGCGAACCCAAATCGATTGGGGAGAAGTAAATCCCATTTCTGGTAACAATAATCCAGTATTTAGGGAATCAGGCCAGAACCGGACTTCACTCCCGAACTCTTCGTAAAATAAGCGCCTTCTGCATTTGGCCGAATCAATCACTGCCCCTGGAAATGGGTGATAAAAGAGCCAGTTATTGCATTTCTCATCTCATCTCATCCATCATCCATACCCCATCCACATTGTACATTATGAATATCGAAATACACTCAATACATTAATAAACTAAATCTAATTAAACATGTAAATAAACAATTGAAACCAATGAAAGGAAATCGTTCATTCGTTCGTTCGTTTGTTACCTCAGTAAAGCGCAAAACCAAAAAAAAAAATCAACCAAAATCATTTTCGAAAAACTACATGAGTATTTCAAAATTTGTAAACCGTAACTCATGAAATCGAACCAAATAATAACAAGCATATAAAACTGAAAACAAAAAATCTATCAAACGCCACAATAAACAACAAAATAAAAACCAATTTCATCTCAACTCAATGATTTTGTAAAACTCGTTCAAAATCCTAAGGTACCTAAAAATTGCAATTATTAAAAATTACCCAAAAAACAAGTTTTAACTAATTGAATGTTCCATAATATTCCAAAAATTGTCCTCTATCTATTCTATGTATTTACTTTTATTTTCGCCGCTATTTGACTTTTAATTCTGTGTGCCGTATTCTTTTTAATTTGTTCATAAAAATATTTGCGATCTTTGTAATTGAAACTAAAAAAGAACTAGCACAGGTTTGTACTTATTTATTTATGAACGGATTAATTAAAGACACTTTTCATCGCAAATATTTTTATCGAACCATTGTAGTTCCTATCCCAAATGCTTCCCTACAAACTTGAGCTTGGAGAGCAAACTCCACCTTGCAAAAAGAACAACGAATGAAGATTACTTTCTTGTTGTTGTGACCATAAATAAATACAATGAAAATAATCGAGTGGAAAAAGATAAATGCAAAATTGTACAATATAACTTGTCGAAAAGTCGTTCGTTACATTAACCATTCATGAGTTTACAAATGCATAATTAAATGTTTCTCTCTCTTATACTCAATTAACTTGTTCTATACACACAATAAGAAATATATATTTTTAACAAAAATTAATCGTTAACTTTAATAATGACAATGAATGGCTTTTACCCCAAAAACTTAAATTGAATTGAACTGACTTGACTTGAATTGAATGAACAAAACAAACAAAAGTTGAACAAAAAAGGTGAAGTTTTCTCTCAAAATTGATTTGGCTGCCTGGCATTTGCACTTTCTTAGTTGCTGCTTCAGTTTTTTATTTATTTACCTTTGAAGTTTTCTTTCTTTAATGTGTATGTAAGTCGAAACCCAGATCAGTGTTCATGGTCAAATCGAGACTTGAAAGTTTCCACAAATTACTGTTAGCTTTATCTGTTTGTTTCTGCTTCCCAAAGTCACCCAGAAGTAACACTCTCCTTGATTTAATCTTTTCCAGGACCTGGACAATCGGATCTATAATTATTTCTCAACGCCATAGAAATCAATTATAGCAACTCAACAGCAGCATACAGAAAACGAAACTGAAAATCAATCAGATTGCCTGTTATAGTTATCTAGTTTAAGTACCAGACACTCTAAGGATCGCCACAATCAAATAACTTGGGAACGGGAAACAAGTTTTTAGTAAATTTTCTTTACACTAACAACAACAGCAACATTGTAGCTGAAGAGGAAAGTTTTTTTTTTGTTGAAACGCGATTTGGTAGCAGCACTAAAACCAAACAAAACATTTCTAACACCATTACGAAGCAAATAGCGAAAGCGAACATATACTAATACTACACATTAAGATGAAGAATGCAGCAGGTGCAATGAGGTAACAACGAAACGAAACAAAATCCAAGAAATCGACTATGCTTGATATGTATCCGGATAACACGAAAGCGCACATCAAACACGACTAATAATATTATAAAGATACTTTTGTTACTTGCGAACATTATAATTTCATTATTGAAGATTATTTTTTCTGTATCATCAATATTTATTCATTTACTCAGCTCGTATGCATACGAATGTTTTTAAATTTAATTTTATTTGAATATTATTATTTGATACATATATAAAATATACTTTTGTGTTGTATAATTTTTTATGCAGTAAACATTTATAGTAAATAAAGAGAAGTAAAATCAATGAATTGGATTTGTCTGAATGGGAAACAGTTTTATATCTTTAGCTTTGTCTAGGTAAGGAGATCCAGAACTTATTCGAAAAATCGTAGAGGTACAGAGAAGCCAAGTGTAGCAAAAACCGTTTAATCGTGATAAGTTGTAAAACTCAATTTAAATTCGACATAGGTCTATAATTGTGTCTACAGTATACATCTCTGAATATACTTATTGCTAATCAAAAACATTCAATACTTTTATGTATATAGTATATCAATATTTCATATTTTGGACATGCTGTTCGATGTAACGCCAACAAAACGCATTGAATTCTCATCTACAAGCGTTACATTCAACGAACATTTAAATCTAGGTTATACACCGATATTGCGTAGCCACATAATTCTAATAGTCTGTCAAGCTATTTGAACATTAAATGCATATATAAGTATGTTAATAGTTTACGTATTTTATATGTAAATATTTTCAACAGTACTGTTTGATAGTTAACTTTGAGATAATTTTCATTTGTACAACTTATCTCATTTGAGATCAGCGATATAACATGCTCAAAAAAGAATAAGAGCAACTAAGGTAAAATTCAAGTTTTTTAAAGTTATTGTTTACAATATTGCTTCGCTAGGTAACTGGTTTTTATCAGGGACCGTAAATAATCATTATTTGAGATTTTTTTTTAAAAGGCCTACTGAGGTTTTTACAAGTTTTAATCAACAATTTAACTGGTTTTTATGCACTTTATAGACATGAACAAATAACAGTTAATTTGCTTACCAGATTTGTTGAAATGCATATAGTTTGTGGACAAGAGTAAAAAGAACGTTATTTTTGACGTTTAAAACAAAATATCACAGTAGCCTTTTTAAAATAAAAATCTCAAACAATGATTATTTACGGTCCCTGGTTTTTATACAATTTATAAACCATTTAGGAGGTTAGACTGTCCGCTTGCACTTCCATGAGCTCTTGCACAATCCGGTACTCATGACAATCGGGGCACAGTAAACGACCATTAGAACGGTTAGACCGCTGAACCTTTTCATGGCAAACAATGTGCACAAGTTTGAGGTTCTTTAGCGAGAATATCTCCAGAAAGTACTCTAGCACCGAGATGTCTACCACTTGCTTCTTGTGCAACGAGCACTTGCGCTGCGGATGGCTCACTAGCTCCTCCACATTGGCCACAAGTGCGGGTAGAATCGTGCGGCACAGTTCAATTTGGTGGTCCAGGTTCCAGACCTGAAACAAAATCAGATTCTCGCGCGAAGCGTATGGATTGATGGTGTGCTGCATGGAACAGCAGTTGCCATTCTCCGAAAAGGCGCCCTGGCAGTAGAAGTCGCCCAAGTCGGAGCACAAGGACACGGACCACTCGTCCAGTATGCAGTTCTCCTTGGTGTACTCCTTGATCACCTGCCGCAGTCTCTTGCTGGGCAGACCGCCAGCATCCGTTTCCTCCTCTCCCAGTTGTTGCTGCAGAAACTCATGCTTTTGCTGACACTTTCGGTTGAACATCATGGAGAAATAGTCGCAGCCGATGAGCAGGTACCGAAACTGCTCCAGCACCGAGTTAATCACCTGCCGCGCCTTGGCATTTTGGCGGTACAGCGGATTACGGGTCAGCTCCTCCTTGGCCTTGTAGTAGTAGCCGCGCACACGTGTCTGAGCCCGCATGGCCATGGCCTCCTCCTTTGAATGGAAGCGCTCCTCTCCGCCCTCGAACCACTCAACATGCTCGGCCTTCAGACTGAGGTGGGCCTTGGTGTTGTCCAGGACGCGTCGGTGCTTCTGGTGCTCGTACTCCATGATCATGCGGCGGAATTTCTCCGGATGCTGTTCGATAAAGTCGTAGAAAATGTCGGCCACCTTGAGCAGCGGTGACTGCTGGCGCATCTTCTCAAACTCAAAGTCGGCATCTAGGGGAAGTCAAGGATATTAGATATATTAACACTTAATATTCAAGCTCACCTGTTGTAATAACCGCATCCGGACCAGCCACAATGAATAGCGTCTGGGCGGGCAGGCTATTTAAATACTCCTCATCGGACACCTCAAAGCCATCAAAGGCCAAATACAAGTGCAAATCGAGTAGCTAAAAAGGACAAGCCGAATTAGTTGAACTGCCCTTGACATGGCCCAATTATGAGGAGGCCAATTCCTGGTTCAGTGGCCTTCAGCAAGTGTGTGTTTTTGTTTTTTGGCTGGGCAAGGACGCTGCACCAACAGGTGGTTAGCTCCTTGGACGGGGCATGCGCACTCCCAGCCACTGGTGGCATTGAAAGAGAGCCAAACAAACGCGGAAGCCACTGCCAGGGACGTGGCCTTGAAATTGCCAGGACCAGGAACTTTGGGCCCCTTTTTTGTGAGTGGGTGGGTTGGACTTGATTGGCGCTTCTACGCAGGAGTTTTTCCTGGATTTTCTTACCGGAAATTTGCTATTGGCCTTGGTGATCAACATTTCCAGGGAATTGGCTCCAATGCCGTATTTTCTCGTCCGTTCGTTATCAGTAACCTTGTAGCCGCGCATTGGAGCAACTGCCGATTCCCTGGATGCGGATGAGTTCACATCCTTGAGAGCTTCGCCTGCCTGCTGGCTGCTGCTGCTGTTGTTGTTGTTGTTCTTCTTGGGACTGCTGCGTGTCGTCGGTGCCATGATTGCATCTCTAATGTAGCCCAGCATCGTTCTGGCTCATAGTAAAGTCAACTTTGGATTGGAGTCCTTGCAGCAGGTTTCCTTTTTGGGCGGACAAAGCAAAATATCTTTGTTGTTTTGTATATCGATAAGCGTTCGATACTTAAATACTGAAAATACCAAATACTAAAGAAGAAAAAGGGCTGTGCTGAAACTCTAGCTTTAAATCGCTAAATAAAGAACAATGAAAAACAATGAATATTAAATTTATATTTCAAACTGTATGGAATTCTTTATTATCCAGTGTATTAAATTGCAAATATATCGTTCTATTGAATGCCAATGCACATGGTGTACAATTTTTTTCTTTAAATATTTACTTATTAGTAAAAACGCAATAATAAGTATTAGCTATAAAATGGCACGCACCTCTATTGGCGGCGCAGAACGTTTTCCAACACTCACCCATCTAGAAACAGCTGTTTGGACCCATAATTTATTTTTGTAAAAAGTTATTTAGGAAAAACTACAACAAACGTTGTTTTTTAGCGTACCATGAACTGGGCTGCGGGCTCCGCGTAATCCGAAGTTCGCCGGAAACCGCGCAACAAGATGAATCTGCGGCCGCGATGCCGCAAGTGGCTGCCACTGGCCACCCAGCAACTGCGACTGCGGAACCTGGCGCGAATTCAGGGATTCAATATAGTCTCCGGGCCGCTGGACAAGTCACCAAAGCAGGCGGATCCCGAGGATGTGCTCCTCTACTACACGCTGCACACGGAAAGGGACAGCGAGGCGTTCTACACCAGCGAAAAGCTGCCGCAGCGGCACCAGCAGCAAAAGTGGGCGGAGATCTGCACGGATGACGAGGCCTGGCGGAAAACCAATGCGCAGTGTGTGTGCGTCAAGGTGTGGAAGCATTTTCCGGCTGAGACTGACCACAGGACTAAGGAGATGTGCGGGTATATCAAGTGTATCCTAGCTTGCACCTAGAACTTCCCTAATCTATTTACTCCTCTCCAGAAGGTCCCAGCTTACGCCCAGTCGGTTGCCACGCCCACCGGAACTGCTCTTCAGCTGGGGCGTCTACTTCTCCGGCCTCATACCCCTCTCACCCCTCACCCTGTCGCAGTGTGGACCGAATTGCTTGGTTTTCCAGTTGAATGGCGAGCAGTTTGCCTGCCCGTCGACGATAAGCGAGCAGGGTTTGCAGTCGCAGCTTCACTTGCACTACCAGAACTACGCGGCGGATGAGCAGCTGGCGGAGCCGCAGGATGAGGGCATCAACTCGCCCGCCGTCAGCCGCAGTTCAAGTCCCGTGCTACGGATGAGCACGATGCGTTACGCCCAGCTGAAGTGCCAACAGCAGGAGATTCGGCGCAGCAACAACCTGGACAAACTGCTGATGCTGCAACGTCTGCAGCGTTTGCATCAGCAGAAGATGCGGCAAATGGCCGAGGTGTGCCGCGAGATCGCCCGTCTAAGTGTGCACTGTGTGACCCGGAACGAGCTGCGCCTTAAGCCTCGCACCACATCGCTGTCCGGCGATCACTCGGCCCATCATCACCATTCCATGGGCCGCGCCCTCAGCGTCTTGCTGGCCGAGCAGCAGCAGATCGCTCCCCTTACGCTTTACAATGCCCAGCAGCTAACCAGAAGGATCGAGGCGCTGGGCAGCCAGCAGAGACTGCTGAAAGCGGAGCGGGAAACGTTTCGCCAGCGCAACGAGCGGGCACGTCAGCGGCTGGAAGAGATGCGAGAACAGCGCGAGGCACTGCAGCAGCAGCTGTACAGCCAGCGGCATCGACTGGAGCAGGAACGCCTAGAGCTGCGCACCCTGTCACCGCAGCACCTGGAACAGCGTGATCAAAAAAGACAAATAGTTCGACAGGTTGAAGTCTCAGAGTTTAATAATAATGAAAAAACTATTAATAAATACTTTTTATAGGTGGAGCGGAGAATGTCCACCCTTGTTTTAGAGCTGCAGGAGATCTACAACATCCAGAACGCGGGCGGACAGCAGTTCAGCATCTGTGGCATTGCCTTTCCCCACATGGAGGAATACACGAGCGACTCTCGCCAGGCGGCCAATGCAGCGCTCCTGGAGAACGTCTCGCCGCTGGCGGTGAGTGCGGCCCTGGGCTACGTTGCCCACCTGGTGCAGATGCTAGCCATCATCATGGATCGACCACTGAGGAACCGCATTTTGTACGAGCCGTCGAGAGCAAGGATTGTGGACGATATCAAGGAGTTGACCTACACCACCAGGGAGTAAGTGATGAATGGATTCAATTAATTATTTTGAATTTTTTTGTTTTAATTAATTAGAATTAATTAGAATTGAATGAATTTGAATTTTGAGTTTAATACAATTGAATGAATGAATGGCATGAATTCCAAAATAATTCAAACGACAAATTCTTTTGAAGAAGAAAGGGCCATCCCTTTGTAATTAAATCTGCCTTAATTTTATTTACTAAGCAGTTAACATTGATTTGTTCTCAAAAAAAAGCACAAAAAATCTTTCAAATTCAAAAAATTCATAAATCTTATTTATTCGTTCATTCAAATCGAAATGATTTAGAAAAACATTCAATTTATTTCACATAGAATTGAATTAAACCAATCAAAAATTTCATGGCATGCTATGATAAAACAAAAATTGAATGATTCACGCAGGGCTCTAGTACGAGATACAAAAAATTATATCATATTTCATCGAATACGTAGGAAAACTGTAATGCTTATTCATGCTATTCCATCACAGATTCCCCCTGTACACACGCTCCATTTTGCCGTCGCAGCAAACCAAGTATGCCATCTACCTGCTGCGCCAAAACGTCTCCCAGCTGTGCTTCGACATCACCGGTCACTGCGATCTGCGAAACACCTTTGGCAATCTGCTGGAGCTCTTCAAAACACTTCGCTACATCGAACGCTCGCAAAGGGATGAGGTGGACGAGCGGGATGGCCGGGAAGGCGGAGCAAGCAATACCGGAGAAGCACGCTTGGCGAATGGCTTGACGGCGCCGCACCTTTCGCAGTCGCACTCGTCGGTGGACATGAACCACGTGCCACTGCCCACAAGCGTCAATGCGGTCAAGGATGCACTGCTCCAGCAGCTGCTGCCGCCGGGAGTGAGTCAAGCCCTGGCCATCGAGGGTTATGCGTCAACACAACGGTAACATAATTGTCATTTAAGTGCAGGGTTAGGAGTAATTGTAATATCATATAAAACCACATTAATATCGTTATGATTCACACTATAAAGAATTTAGTATTACGTTTCTTCAATTGCAAAATTTGAGATGTAATTACTACAAAATATTTTGTCTTGTATTTTTTATGATTTTTTGAAATTTTAGCCGGTTTTTCCTCCTTTTCATACAAAGTTTTACTGAGATCTTTCCATTCAAAAAAACATAAAAAATTCAAGGGAAAATATTTTGAAATTTTTTTTTTGCAGTTATTGTTAATTTTGCTTGGGGAAAAACTTTGCATCAAAACATTTTTGTTTTTAACCCCAGGGAAAAAGTTTAAAATTTGACTTTTACAACATTTTCTAACTTTTTAAAGGGTGTTTAATAGTTAAAAACATTTTTGTGTGATTTAAACGGAATTGAAGTGCTCTTTCCATAGGTGCCAAAAGTTTATATTATAAGTCCAAAATATGAGTACAGTTAACATTCAAATATGTGAAAATAATTATGCCGACCATTGTATATTGTCAATTTCTTACAGCATCTGTCGTTCGGTGGGCTCATATTCGGATGGCGAGGACGAATTTCGACCGCGATTGGAGCACAACTATTCCAACTCGGACTCCAACATAACGCTGCAGACGGAGCGTAGCTGAGCATGTGCAGCCACATCCGATATTCGTGTATTATAGCAAGCGATTATATAGAAATTTCCATGAACACGGCAGCTGACGTAGCGGCTCCTCCTCAGTGGTAAATTTTGGATTGGACGCGTATTAGTTGAAAATCATTTGTATACTTTTAAATTATAAAAAATCAATAGTAGGTGTATGCAGAACGCGGACCTTTGCGGGCATATTATCTTTAGTTGTTTAAGATCTCTGTGTAAATTCCCGTTTATTGTTTGTTTGCTAATGTAAGCTACGAATAAACATATAATATTTTATACACACCAAATGGTAATTATTATTTTAAATAGGTAAAAAGTTTTAGTAAAAATAAAATATATATTTTAGATTTAAACTTTTGTATCTAGAAGCATACATTTTCTTATATTTATTTGAGCTTTTATGAAAGTTTGAATTTCCCGCCCATTAGTGTTAAAAAGTGTAGAAAGCAATTGTTGCTCTATAACAGAGGCGTCGGTGGTAACATGAAATCTTCTTACGTCAAAATAACATTACGTGACCAAAAATTGCGCATACGCTATGTTAAACCAGCTGATTATTAAAATTATTTTGCTGGCAACTTGCTTCCGGGATTTCCAAGTTTTTCGCACAATATCCGGGCTAAAAATAAATAAAAAATGTGCTGGCAGAGGCCCAAGGCGGCGACAAGTGAAATGCAATAATTGTTTTTCTAAATGAAAACTCGAAAAGCCCCTTAATTCGACTGGCACGTATGAGGTGCATGTGTGTGTTGTGTGGCCCGGGCCTTGGCCTTTTATTTATCGAATTCGTATCAATTAAACTGAAACGCTGAGCAATAGAAGGCACTTGGAGGTGTCATAATGACGATTTGGTAGCCGGCAACTGTTTCGACTGATAAGCGGACCTCCACCACGGGGAATGCCTGCGATTTACGCGTATATGGTGTTTACCCTGCCTGTTTACCGCTCAAATAGAAGAAAAAAACTCAGGTGCGATAAGGAGTAGCAGCAGTAAAGTTTACACCTGGGATTGCTCAATGGAAACGTGGCAAAAAGAGAACTCTGCATTTATTTTTATCTAGAAGATAGAAGGTAAACAACAGCTAATTAAGAGAGCCAAACTGCATATCCAATTAGGGTGTTAATAAGTTCAATTCGGGCGCCAAAAGTCAAAACCTACTCTTAAGTCAACTACGCTGCTTACGCTCTTTTTGCTCTCTCTTAAAATGGCTGAGAGCAATTTACCGCTACGCGATTTCGATGAAGAGAGCGAAACGGATTCGGAGACGGAATTACTCATACGCCGCGATGTCCCGAGCGGTAGAAACAACAACAACAGCAACAACAACAACACTGGCAGACGGCGCAAAAGCTCAACGGGCTACAGCGGCGTCGACGTCGACGGCGGCGGAGGCAGCTTTCTGGGCAATCTCTTTGGATCCCACATTTCTGGCTCTGCCGCCGGCCAGATACGTTATAGAAATGAGCGAAGTCGCGAGCGCGCCAAGAACTCCAACGGCATCTATAGCAGCATTTCGAAACTGGCGCAATTAACGCACACGTCATCGGGCGTCGCGGGCGGGACGGGGGCGGTAACTGCAGGGGGGAGTGGCAGCGGAGTAGCCACCGGCGATGTAGGAGTAACCACTTCGGGAGCAGCGGCAGCTGGAGGATCTGCCCTGCCGCCGGGGGATCATCTCAGCAATGGCGGAACGCATGCAACAATCGTAGATCCCGAGAATGGCTCCTCTACGGTCTTCTACCAGCACAATCGGCGGAAGAGCAAGAGCCGCAGCATTGGCAACATCTGCAAGCTGTGCCTGTGCAGGTGAGTCCCTCGTTTCGGTGCGATCCGTTCGTTACCCTCCGGCAACGCTGCGTATGCGCAATATTTCCATTTCACTGCTGCAATAGTGCAATCAAGGGAATTGTGGGAAAGTAAATAGCGATAAAACAGCTGTTCACTAGTCAGCAAAATATCCGAAAAAAAACAAGTCTTAACTCAGAGGAAATAGATTTTTTTTGGAAGTCAGAAAAAACCCATGAATATTTAGTAATCTTAAAAAGAATTTATTTTTGAACGGAAGGCGATTAGAAGTTAATTGTAATTTAATTCTTTGGAAAAATATTATCTCTTTTATTTTGTTTTTGTTTTTGGTTTTTCCATTCAATAAATTACAACGAATTTTTTTTTTATTTCTATAATTTTGTATATACCCAGCCCTTGGTAGATAACTCGCCTTTCGTAATACTTCTATAAATAATTTTTGAATAATTAATATTTGCCAAAGAAATCAAGAAAAACGTTGACCTCTCTTCTCTTGGCTATTCTATCATTTTCTCAAATAATCACTATTATGCCGAAACAACTTGTTGTTTTGTTTTCGCCACTTGGAATTTGTTTATTATTTTTTTCGGCCTGAGCAAAATCTGTTTGCGGCTTCTAAGATGAGCAGAGTGAGCCAATTTCTGTTGTGTTGCAATTTTATGTTACTTTTAAATTAGATCTTTTACGAAACACATTTCCAAGAAAAATATTCTAGCCGAAAGGCTACACATGTGCGACATATACACAATGAATGCATCTGTGTACCAGCATATATAGCGATTCCGAGATATATTTTTAATTTACCTAATTAGAGAGGGAAACACGAGAGAACTTTTGAGAAAGGCGGCACATGCGAAACAAACGGCGAACGGGCTCACACGTCTGAAAGTGGATCGGAGAAGGAAAATTAAAAACATTTCGGTTTCTACGCAGCGTTGTTGTACTGCAAATCGATAAACGTGACGACTTCCATGTCTGGGGAAAGATTTCAACGAATGGAAATGGAAATGAAAATAATAACAAAAACACGGCTATAAATAGTGGACGAGACAGGCGAGATGGTTGGGTGACAAGGCATAAAGTAAACGCAAACATTGGAACCCCCACATTTCTAGGCGGAACTCTAATTGCCGCGAAACTTTGCCCAAAAACACACAACTCCACCCGTTACCTGTGCACTTTTTAATCGATGTTTGCCGTGTGACTCGAAACCCGATTGGTGGGCGAAGCAAAACCAAATAAAAACGACTCAAGAAGTCACCAAGAAATGCTAAAAATTCAGAAACCAGTTCTCAGCTGGTTTGGCTACACATTGTTGTTTTCAAGGTTTCTAAAAAAAACAAACGAGTTGCCCAGAAGAAGTCGCTCTATAGGGTTTTTTTTCGTGTTCGGTTAGTGGCAGCTTTTTCTGTGTCGAAAATTGAAAGTTTCTCTGCTGCCTTTTCGTCGCTTATCAGAATCAGGTCGATTGTGGACCAAATTACAAAATGAAGCCGCGAATTCCGCAATGCGTCGCTAGATCGAAATAGTGATAGTAAATTTAAATTCAAAATTTGTCTATGGTAGTAAAAAATGCGTACTCGACTCGAAAACTTTGACAAAGGAAAGCTCTGTGTGGAAATCGTCTTTTAACTTTAATGTGGGAAAAGTAAATATAGATAACATTTGTTTATTACAATATTTGAGCCGAAAGCTAGATCAAAGAAATTATAAAACCACTAAAGTTTTTGATATAATAGGTAGACCAATATTTATAATTTTTTTTAAATTAATAAGCTTAGGTTTATTAATTCAAATGGGTGTGTGCTGCCTTACTCAAAAGATGGATTTCTTTTTCATTATTGTGAAATAGCAATCTCCTATTTCGATGCCCCAATGTCATCTTTTGATTTTCAAGTGCGTCTTTAACTCTTTATAGCCCTCTTATCGCCCCCTGACCACGGACAAATCTTAAGGCCTTTACAGCTTCAAGTTCTCTTCAATATTTTTCGACACCTATTTTTTTGGTCGGTTTTGTGAAGGTTTTCCTACCTACCGAGCCTAGCTTTTTGTCTATATGAAACTTTTCCCGGCTTTTTCGTTTCATTTTTGGTACTCAACTCCGGTTGCCGTTTCGGTTATATGAGGCTCAAAGATTTCGACAGGCCGATTAGAATTGCAAAGTGAGGCGCCATGCGGCACAGTTTGTTGGTGTGATTTTGGTGGCCACTGTGGTGGAACCATTTGTGTTTCCCTATATACGAGATTTTATTCCACACTAGACTACCAAGACGGATGGGTGCTGATAACCTTACTTTTTTATGTGCTTAATAATAAAAATATTTTTATTTTAATTACTTGGAATTTAAGAAATATATACGTTGTTCTTTCAATTAATGTTTAGCACGCTTCGCCTAATTATTTCCTATTTTTTTAGATTTTCATGTAAATTTGTTTTGGGTGATTTTTGCTACTTCCCGTTTTTTTGGGTGACCTTTATAGAGTAGTCTAGATAATTTCCGTTGTATTAAATTAAATCAATTTTATTTCCAAGAGTTCAATGCAATATTCATAACTCTTTTATAATTTGCTAAAGTCTGGAATCAATCACACTCAAGTTAATTGTAATTGCATTAAATATAGCCATTGCCAACTGACGACAGACTTTTCCCAAGCTTTTTTCACTTTGCGGCATGCAAATTGGTCAGCCACGCCCACATTCCCCCCGTTCCGCCTCCCCCAAACGCCACAAACTGTCAATGGTAACGCCTAATGTTATTATTTTCTAGTCGCCGTTAGCTGTTTATCTAGTTGCGAATGCAAATGGCTGGGAAGGGAAAAAGCAAGGCTAAAAGAAGAAGGGGGCTGTGCGGTGAAATGCGACAACGATTGACGCCCGCAACTTGGACTTTGCTGGCATGGTTTTCCACCCACCGGCAATGTGGGTTAATAACCAAAAGCCAGAAGGCAGCGCAAGTTACACTATTCATAGCTCACCTCATTCCAATCCGGTTACCCGTGAAAGGGTATATTGTACACGTGTTTCCACTCCCTCCCAAGCAAACATATTTGCCTTTTTCCGTAACAACCATATGTATTCCAGTAATACAATTGTATTCCAGTAATACATATTCGATATTCAAGTTAACCAGCTATACATATAAGTTATCAATGATAACTTATCATTCTTTCAAGATTTTTCAAAATTCCAGTGAGAGTTTTGTGAGTTCAAGATATTGAAAAATGAATGCTTCATTTTTATTTAGCCATAGAATATTTATGTACACAAATTAAAGATATCAACTATTTGAGTCATCCTCATAATTTTTCCAAATCATTAGTTCTTTGTTTATATTTTTAGATTATTTTCTTTGTGGGTGATAATATTTGAGTTCCGACATTTTCATACCATAAATGCTAGTTTAGTTTTGATTGAAAAATAATACAAAAATAAATCTAGTACAATAAAATATTTTTTAAGGGTTAAGTCTCAC